TATAAATATTTTTTCAGGGGAATTAGATAATGCATTTTCGGTAGAATTCGGAAAACATATATTTCAGAAATATGGACATATAGTTAGATTCAATGGGTTTCTAGGCAGAAAACCTGTTGTAGTTTTATTTGATCCTGAAAGTATATCAATGGTGAGTAATGTTAAACTTTAAAGTGTTAAATTATGAAGGGGTATTAAGTAGCTTGACGTTAAAGTCAAAGTCGTGGGATAGACATACCGATAGGAAACTTAAATTGATGGAAAATCCGTCTTACTTTTATTAGTATTTTAGACTAAAATTACCTTGTTTTTACTGTGACAAGGATGATTATAGCTCACTCATTATTTTAGGTACTGCGATCTGAAAATGTAATGCCTGTGCGTCCTGGATTTCAAACACTGACCTACTACAGAAAATGTAAAAACAAAAACAATCAACCAATGGGATTAATTGCCGAGTGAGTAATCTTTTTAAACGTCTGATACGCAGCGGTTGTAAATACCAATAGATGTCGCGCTTCAACCGCTGCTCAAACAAATACTGCAAATACTACCTAGGTATATTGCATCTTGTGTAGTATACAAGCCATCAGTGAATATTAATTAACAATTAAGTATTTTTAGATTTATCTATAGAATCCCAAATCGCTCACATCAATCTTCATAAACATATTTTTACCCTGTTTTAGTATTGGTGAGCCATGGAGGAAGTTCCGTACAGTAATAAATCCGGTGATGCTACAGCCTAAGATTATCAAACTTTACCACGACAAGCTAGATGAAGTCGCCATGGATATGGTAGCCAGGTACGCAATTGCCTTATTTGGTCAAATACTAACTAACCCTCGAAGCACTGAAACTGGATATAGGTAATTATTTTGAACATACGAAAAAAGTAACCATTATTGATTTGCACAATACAAAATACTCATTGCTTTTTCCAATCAAGAATGTTTATTGAGTCATTTTACAAATGATACCAAAGATAAACTCTAATCTCTGAATATTGAGACTCTAAATATTGTAAACCCTGCCTGAAAATGGATAATCTTGAACCATATTTTATTACGTATTATTCAGACTACGATTTCTACGAGGCAAAAATGGCATGATCCAGAGGCCTTTTGATCTGGAAATGAATCTCTGGTCATTGGAGTCAGCGAGCTTGGTGGCCCTCGGGCGTCGTCTCAACTGCTTCGACCTAAATCTACCTTCAGACTCGCCTGAGAGGAGACTCATAGATTTGGTGCACGAGGTCTTCAGGGTAGCAGACGAATTGGACTTCCGACCGAGTTTGTGGAGATACTTTCCCACCAGAGCCTTTAAGAGAGCAATGAAGCTATACGAAGAACAAGATAAGTAAGTAGATACCGAGTTATTGTAACATTTTCTTTTTATATTCCCAGGGTTTGAGATTTTATATCATCGGTCCCCAATAAAAAAATCTGAGTCATGTAACCAAAAACTTAAAAAATACTTGGATCTCACTTAAAATTCACACTTTAGTTAAAGCTAACGAAAAGAATAAAAAAATTGTTGTCTGTTATTTCAGTGCAACCAGATATTTTATTGACAAAACCATAAAAGAACTTAAGGTGAGAGGTGGCAGTAAAACTGAATCAGAAAAAGGGGTTTTGGAAAAATTACTTGACATAAATAAGGATATGGCCGTGATTATGGCTTCAGACATGATTACTGCAGGAGTGGATACGGTAAGTTTGTCGAAACAACCAAAAATACCTTATAAAGGTAGCAGGAAGGCGCTGGATGCAGGCCGCTACCAACCGCGCGATATGGAAATCATTTGGGAGGCTTATGTTCAGCAGTGGACGTCCTGTGGCTGAAATGATGAATCAAAAATACTTTAAAGCTGTTTGACCACTTTCACATTAGGGCGTCAGAAGCGCGACAGTACCGTAGCAGCAGCGGATACCTACCTTATTATAACGTTATAACGCTGCTGCTTCTTACAATGTTATCTATATCATCATCATCATCATCATCTACTATGGTAGACGGTCGCACTTGTGCTGCGTAAGTCACCTTTGTGAAAGCGCTCTGCAAGTGTCATGAAAATTTTTAAATAGCTGTCATTATTAAAGAAGTAATTTAAAGTTTAGCCTTTGATTGCTATGCATGTAACATGATACATGCCTAGGCAAGGCAACTAGGCTATCTAGTTACGTCCTATTAACCCTACTTGTTTTTTACTTGGTCCACAAATGATTATGCCCTTGCTTTTTTTGTTCTTGATTAGTATTTTTTTCTTATTTTAAATAGTAATAATACTACAGCAAAATTTTACTTTTTAGACTTCCAATACAATGCTTGCCATTTTGTACCTATTGGCTGTAAATCAAGAAAAACAAGACATTTTGAGGGAAGAGTTAATGTCAGGAGGAAAGCGGAGTTACTTGAAAGCGTGTATAAAGGAGTCCATGAGAATCATGCCAGTGTCTGCGGCTAATGCAAGGGAGACTTCTAAAGAGTACAATATTCTGGGATACCATATACCAAAAGGGGTAATCTTAGATCATATTAACTAAGCTTTAAAGGTCGAAATGTAAAATGGACTGCATTAATGAGAATGATTGAAATTATACCAAGTGCTACTTAATGATGCAAATTAATTACAAAATTAATAGAAATAGATTAATGTACACAAACCAGTACTTTTAAATAATATTTATAAGTTGCATTTTCTTTTATTTAGTATTTCAATATAAAAAAACTTAAATGTTTCTAGAAAGATCACATTTATTTTACAAAGATCACCAAGAAACTGACACTAATACAAACTAAATTACGAGAAATTCTATTTTAAAATTTATACTTAATAAGTATTTCGTACTACTAACATACTTCGTTTCCAGATGCAAGTCACGTTTATGCACCAAGTGATGGCACAGATGGAAGAACACTACCCTCGACCTCAAGAGTTCATCCCCGAGAGGTGGACAGTGGGCAAGGAGGACCCTCTTCATTATGGCCACGCCAACCCTTTTACTTACAATCCTTTTGGGTTTGGTGTCAGAAGCTGCGCAGGTAATTTTCAGTGAAATATTTTTTTTATTACGGATTAGCAAGCTAAAGTGGCAAGGGGCAGGGCACATAGTTCGCAGAACTGACGGTCGGTGGGGCAGCAAGGTTCTAGGGTGGAGGGCACGTACCGGAAAATGCAGCGTGGTACGTCCACCGACCGCGCGAGATTATGGAAATCATTGGGGGCGGCCTATGTTCAGCTAGCAGTTGTAGTACTATATTGATAAATAGGATTGTATTCTTATCAGCATGTCAGACATTGTTAAGAAAAATAATTAACTGATTAGTTATAAAATAGTAACTTAGGCTGAGTTGCACCACCTAAATTTAAACGTAACTATAACGATAACCGGTGTATTTTGTATGGAGTTTGACAGATTTTTGACGTTTGTTAAAGTAAAAGTAAAATGGTGCAACCCAGCCTTAGAACATCATTGTTGTTATTGACTTCAGCTTGTAGAACAAGTTATTGCATAAGTACCCACTCCGTCGCTTTGTAACCTTAGTTACATGACAGAAATGCGTCGACATGCTTCATGTAACAATAATTACAACATACGAAAGTAACGCAATGTGTATGATAGTTAAGTAGTCCTACGCTGTCGCTGGTGTTTTATTTAGACCAGATTCGACCAAACTTTTAACCGAGAATAACTCCTGGCACATTGACAGTTTTAGTATGGGAAATATTTCAAAACTGACAATTTATTCCGAGATTAATATTTACTCTTGTTTGGTCGAATCCACCCTTAAAATATAAGTAACTGTGTCAATGTTTACAGGTCGCCGCATAGCCCTTTTAGAGCTGGAAATATTCTTGGCAAGGATTATACAAAATTTCAAAGTGGAATGGCTCGGACCACCTGGGATTGTCGTGAAGTCCACCACTCTTAACTACGTTAAAGGACCATTCAATTTTATATTTAAGGACATTTGACTTGTTGACATTTAAATAATCAGAAAATTGTAGCATTAATATAATATTTTTCGATGTACTGACCACCAAAGATTCATATTTTATTTGACCTTTATATTAATTACATTTTTATCTGATATGTGTGTGCTAATATTTGAATGTGTTTTGATGAAAATAAATTTATTAAACGACTATGAATGAATAAAATCAATTCAGATTCATGGCTTTATTGATTAAATATATACTCGTACCTATACTTATAAGCCGTGTGGTGACGGCAGAGTAGAATACATTTGTCACCAACCCCTACTCTTCCCGCGGGTGTCGTAAGAGGCGACTTAGGGACTACACATCAAACAGAGAATGGGCAGCAGCGCTCTCTGAAAAAACATCAATCTTTTAAACTGCGATCTCCAACCCGCCTGCCAAGCGTGGAGATTATGGCAAAACCCTCCACTATAGTGGAGGAGGCTCATAGTCCAGCAGTGGACTGTAAAGGGCTGTTGATGATACTTATGAACCCACATTCGTCTTATCCTAGACGGTAATGAGGTAATTATTTCATACTTTGATTCTTAGTTATTTATTTCACGAACTGAGATTTAAACTTATTTGGTAACCAAAGTGACCAAAATGACCAAATACTCCTAATCATTTCCTTTTTGACAATGGGGTCCGCTGCATTATAATGACATAACCTCGAATCTGTTTATGAAACATCATAATTTGTTTTAATATAGTCCACTATATTGATCACTGTGGAACATTATTTGTTACATAGCTCTAAACGGAAAATCTAACAATTTAATTTCCGTGGTGCCTGGGTCTAACAAAAAAAATTATACTCAGATCGAAACATCTATTTTTTAACAAGACTACGAACGAGTGCAATTTATTGATGCTAATAAAAATGTGCATTATTTTAATTTAATATTTAAAACAAATCTTATTTTTCGGTAAAATATTTATTTTAATAATAGAAATAATTATATTTTGCGTTTCTCGCACATTATTTTTTTGCTGTAGCAATAATATTTTTATTAGTATTTTGGAGGTAGGAAGATATGAACCGTTCTGCATTGCAGTTGGAACACATTTATCAGAAGTATTGAAGCAAAACGGTCCCGTTCGTGAAAATCATTAGCAAAATGAATAATTTTGGCTTGAAATCATTATTTTCCTTGTCTACTAGCAAGATCTTTACCAGGTAAGTTTGTGAATTTATTTTCAACATTTCGTGAATTTAAAGGTCACTTGTAAGAAAATGGGGTCAAGGCGTTAATCATGTAGACTCAATAAAACACAAAAAATAGGTTTTTGCGTAAAATACTTTGGTTGCATAAAATAATTAGAATATAAAGAACATCATCACGCGTAACTTTTAGCCACAGTAAATGTGAATAGTTTCGTAATCAAACATTTTGACAAGATGGTTATAGACATTTTTACAACGTGGTTTTGCATATGAAAAAAATTGAAGTACTTTTTTATGATTTATCGTTTTAAGATTTAAATTAGTTAATTTTTAAAATTGACACCTAATCTAAAGTGAGCCACGTCAAGATTGAGTTCAAATAAATGCCTGACGTGTGTGTTAGCCACGTGGTTCTAGCAGAATCAAACAAACCCGGTCGACTAAGGGTGTAAATGCTATAGTAGACTACACTCGGCTGTCCAACTCGTCTGGCCAGCGTGGGGAGTGTAGGCCAAATCCTCAATTTGGCCTACACACATGTAATGCAAATAAATAAAATGATTTGAATTTGAAATTATGTGGGTCGTGCTCCTGCAGTGGAAATGACCTTGATGTAATTAAAAGTGATGTTTATGAATTGAAGGTCAATTAATTATATTTCAATTTTACCCACATAGACAGATATAAAATAATTTAAGCCTATTTGTTATTTTTAATAATTAATGTTGGAGGCAGGCAGATAGATACCTATGTCATGAAAAATATTGTTTCAGATCTATCTCAATAAATGCGGCGGGTGTCACTAATACAAAAAGTCTCAAGCCATGGAAGAAAATACCAGGTCCCACGTCTTTGCCAATCATAGGCCAAATGCATCATTTTATGCCTTGGGGTGAGTTTTTACCATAATAGCTGTAGCGCTTAACCTTAACTAGTCAGTGCCTGAGGTATGGGAGCTAGTGTTCCTGAGACCTAGGCTTTTAGGCTTTTTTTAAGGCTAGCCTATGAATTAAGGGCTACAGTGGGAAAAAAGCCTAAAAAGGTCTTTTAGGCCTTTAGGCTAGGCCTTTTTCATAGCCTTTTTTGTCCACCCGATGACTGTAGGCTTTAGCCTTTTTGTAGGCTAGGCGCATATTTAAAAGGCTTGAAACTTATAAAGAATTTTCGTCCTTTAGGCTAGGTCTATTTTATTTATTTGTAAACACCTAATTGTACAACAGGATGCAATAAATGAATACGAATATGAATATTTATTTTTAACCGACTTCAAAAAAGGAGGAGGTTACATGTTCGACTGTATGTATTTTTTTTTCTATGTAAGTTCACCGATTACTCCATCAATTGTGGACCGATTTTCAAAATTCTTTTTTTGTTCGATAGGGTACACTTCTGAGGTGGTCCCATTGTCACCAAGTCAGGATCTGATGATGGGATCCTAGAAATATATAATAATAATAATGTATAACAATTAGGTACTTTATTATTTCCAATTTCAAATAATATTCGTTTTTATTTAATTTGAAAATAAATGCAATACAAAAATACTTGTTTAATTCATACTAAGCCACAACCTGAATAATGGCTATAGCCTTATAATAAGCCTACTACTCGAAAAAGACTTTAGTCGGAAATAAAGCCTAAAAGGCTATTTAGGCCTATAGGTTTTTTTTTTAACCTATAGGCTTTTTATAATGAGTAGCCTTTTAAAAGCCTAGTAGTCTATCATGGCCAAAAAAAGAACTAAATAGGCTTAATTTTAAGAACTTTCAATAGTTGGTTTTAATTAATCTCAAATAATGAAAATGTAAAGATTTTATTTTGTGTTGTCTTTTATGAGTATCTACTTTTTTAAAGTGGTAAATTTAAAAAAATATCATAATAAAACGTATGATTGATATCAACGAATGCTAAAAAAAGTAAAGACTTGATTTTTTAAATATCAATATAAATTTTCAACACTAAAACAGGTTTTGTTATTTTTGACATAAATGCAATTTTCTTTATTTCCTGAACTATTAAGTAGCTAGTACTTAGCTTAAATGCCGTTATGGTGAAAAGTTTTGTTTTTAACTGCATTTTAGTCTTGTAATCAAAACGAATCAAACAGGCATACCAATAGTTTCGTAATTTATGTGTTAATACTAGACTTAAATGACGTTAGCTAACATTAGCTGCATTTAAGGCAAGTATTTTCACGTTAAAAAATAATAGTTTTACCGAGCTAAAACGTCGTTAAACTATTTAACGGCATTAAAGTTTAGTAGAATTATTAGTTAGAAACTCATTTTACAAATGTATCAAAGTTATTCAAGATCCAAAACTTAAACGCCAAAAAACTTAAAAGGTATGTCATGAAAAATATTGTTTCAGATCTATCTCAATAAATGCGGCGGGTGTCACTAATACAAAAAGTCTCAAGCCATGGAAGAAAATACCAGGTCCCACGTCTTTGCCAATCATAGGCCAAATGCATCATTTTATGCCTTGGGGTAAGTTTTTAACACAATAGCTGTAGCGCTTAACCTTAACTAGTCAGTGCCTGAGGTACCTATGGGAGCGGCACGGGAGAGGAGAAATCAAAAAAAAAAAAAAAAAAAATATTCAGTTTAGACCACAAGTGGCACTTATGAACGTCAAAATGTAAATAATAAAAAAAGAAAAGGTAGCACTTATGGGGCACTTTACATGTCTCCTTATCTTTTGGGCCCTACCAGCGCTTTGAGACAAACATATGGCAAGTGCAAGATTTTGACATAATATTTTCCCTATATTGTTGACATTCCACCAGCTTGCACTAAGCGTTTCGATGACTCTTTTATAATGCGAACAGCTAGGGACTGGAATTCGTTGCCTGCTGCTGTCTTTCCCGATGACTATAATCCGGGTCTTTTCAAGGCGAGAGTGAATAGGCACTTACAGGGCAGATATGTACCATCCTAGACTGCATCCCCCTTAACATCAGGTGCGATTGTGGTCAATACATGCCTTGTTATGCATAAAAAAATATGACGTGACAGAGCATTATAATTTGCGAGAATGACATGTGTGGGTTGACCTGGCAAGTGGCAGGTGCATAATTTTCACATGCGTTACATGCGTCATACGTGAGACGAGAGGCAGAATACCTACCATATTACCCTAAAGGGCTTGTCAATAGAATTCATTGATATTGAGTTGAACACCGATTTAAAGTGACATTTCCATACTATGTCCCTATAACATTACAACGAGCGTGTAATTTTCACAAGGGAGTATGTAACTTTTAAAACTTGAATGAAATCGATTGCAACAGGTGGAAATTGAACCCACGCCTCTGATTGCTGACCAAAATCACAATAATAACACAACTTGACTAAAGGGAAACTTAACTCGGCGATGATACCATACCTACGATTGGTATTATTATTTATATTGACATGCATGTTTGATTTGCAGGTGAATTAAATAATGCATTTTCGGTAGAGTTTGGAAAACATTTATATCAGAAATATGGACCAATAGTAAGGTTCGATGGGTTCTTTGGAAGCACCCCCTTCGTCGTTTTATTCGATCCTGACTGCGTGTCGGTCGTAAGTATAAAATCTTTAATTTTTTTTAGAAAGAAAGATAGGCGTTTTTTTTTTAAGAAAGATAGTAAGTAATACTTTTTCCAGTGTTCTAAAATTTGTAATTCTTTTTAGGTACTTCAATCGGAAAACGTTATGCCTATCCGACCCGGATTCCAAACTCTCACGTATTATAGAAGACGTAAAAACAAAGATAATCAGCCAATGGGACTGCTTGCTGAGTAAGAAATATGCCTTAATTGTGCTACAATTGTTTATTCTTCTTTCTCGATCCCTCACTCATGAGGATCGCAACCACATTTTTTTAAAGATTATTAGTAATTTGTGCAATAACAAGCCGTTAGCCCCTCGTACTAAGCTAAATATGCTTGTGTCACGAAAGAGCTCACCACAATAGTCTAGCGGCGGTGGGGACCGAACTGCGTTCCCCGGATCACGAGTCGGCTAGTCCGACCCCTTCACCGTTTGGTCATCGTGGCTTATCAATATACCTAGTGTTCCTCCATAACCACCGTCTTCCTCACCGCGTCTGACCATCTCATCGGTGCCCTAACGGTTTTAAGCTAGGTACAGTTTTCATAGGTCGTCTTATTTTTGGCCTGAACTATGTTAAAATCTTAACGTAGGTACATACTTTATACTTTCTACCCGTATATACTTTCTAGTGTCGGTGATGCTTGGAAGCAATTCCGTACGGTGGTGAACCCAGTCCTGCTGCAGCCGGAGGTCATCAGGCTCTACAGCGAGAAGCTCGACGGAGTCGCGGTGGACATGGTGGCCAGGTATTCATATTTCTTATTTTTTAAATTAATTTGTGGAATGGATAGAAAAAAGGCAAAAAGTCGTACATAGACAAACAGTTATGGACTTTAAAACCATTTATTCAACTAAGGCAAGTCAAGGTCAAGAGTTACGTAAAAGAAAAAAAGAGGTTCGATTACAGAACAGTTTAATGTAGTTCTACCTATATCAGTTAAAATGATCCAGCTTGTTTTTAAAATGAAACTTATTTCAGGTTGAGACGTCTACGTGGCAAAAACGGCATGATTCAGAGCCCATTCGACGTCGAGATGAACCTTTGGTCTATGGAATCAGTTTGTTTGGTGGCTCTCGGGCGGCGTATCAACTGCCTTGACCCAAAACTGCCCACCCATTCAACTGAGAGAAGACTTCTGAATCTCGTCCACGAAATATACAAGGTAGCAGATGAACTGGATTTCAGACCGAGTTTGTGGAGATACTTCCCAACGAGAACCTTTAAGAAGGCTATGAAGTTATACGAAGAACAAGAAAAGTAAGACTTTCGGATTTTTCCTCTTTTCTTGACAAAAGTCTGACAATAGGAAAAATATGAGAAAGGCCGACAAATGCATAAAGAAACAGAAACACTTCCTAGTAGAACTCTTATAAAAAGATTTTGTTAGTGTGAAATTACACAAATTATGTAAAAAAATATTTTTCCGATTTCAGCACTGCCAGATATTTTATCGACCGAACAATAGAAGAACTTAAAGCGAAAGGTGGCAGCAAAATTGAGTCAGAAAAAGGCGTTTTGGAGAAATTACTTGACATAAATAAAGAAATGGCCGTTCTCATGGCATCCGATATGATCACAGCTGGCGTGGATACGGTAATACTGATGTTATTTTTACTTTGGAAAATTTGCATGGAATAGAACTAGAAATAAATCTGTCTAAAGTTCCTACGTGTTGTCTAAATAATAATATTAGAAAAATATATTTTGATCTTTATTTTCAGACTTCAATAACAATGACTGCGATATTGTACCTGCTTGCTATAAATCAACACAAGCAAAACATTCTTAGAGAAGAAGTGATGTCGCAAAATGGGAAGAAAACGTACTTGAGGGCGTGTATAAAGGAGGCCATGAGGATGATGCCAGTCTCTGCGGGGAATGCCAGGGAAACTACCAAGGACTACAGCCTGCGCGGATACCACGTACCAAAAGGAGTAAGGACATATATAAAATATGTGCATAGAAGTTCTGTTCTGATATTTTATTACAGTTAAAATAAAATTTAATTAAAGTGTGAATACACGGGTACAAGTTCTGGAGTGTAGGCCACGCGGTACGTGGGAAAGCGCAGCGTAGGACATCCACCCACAAGATGCACCAATGACCTCATAAAGGTAGCAGGATGGCACTGAAGTCGTTGAGGGAGGCCTATGTTTAGTGGTGGACGTCCTATGTCTAAAATGATGATGATGATAATGATGTCAAGTCCCCGAGTGGCTATAATTTTACCAGAATATTGCATAATTTTGCGCTTCCTGTAGCATATCACCAAATAATATTATTATAGTGATCCTCAAATCATGTCTTCATTTGCAGATACAAGTCACATTTATGCACCAAGTCATGTCGCAGATGGAGGAACATTACCACAGAGCGCACGAGTTCATCCCAGAGAGATGGATCGCCGACAACGATGATCCCTTGTTCTTTGGGAAAGCCAACCCTTTCACTTATAATCCCTTTGGATTTGGTGTTCGTAGCTGCATTGGTAACTATTATTATTTATTCATATATTATTTTATTTGAACAACACTTTTAAAATTATTACGAGTAGTAAGATACAGTATAGAAAGGTTAAAGCTTTTTATATTTGTTTATCACATTTTGTACAATGTGTGAAGACGTAGTGTGGGCAGGCAGGAAAAATAAGGTGGACCGACAATCTGGTGAAGGTCACTGGAAATACCTGGATGCGGGTAGCGCAGAACCGGTCATTATGGAATACCTTGGGGGAGGCCTTTGTCCACCTGTATACGTAATTTGAGTGAAAAGAACGAACAATGAGTTCATAAGAATTTCAACGATATCAGTAGTGATAGATACTGGTGTTCTATATCGTAGAAATAATTGATTGGATAGTTAATCTGAATCTATTGTATCGATTTTGAAACGTATTATTTCATATTTTTGTTATGGAAATTTGAAGCAATACAAGTCTTATAATATTAGTAATCAATAATAATATTATTCGTGTTCGATCCTTTCATCCACCATCAATACGATTAGACACTAATAAAGACCATTTGGTGAGTGTAGTCTTTTATGAAAAATATTTTAATTGTTGTTCTTGTTCACAGGTCACCACATTGCCACTTTAGAGATGGAAACGCTCCTTACTAGAATCATCCAGAACTACAAGGTCGAGTGGCCTGGTGCCCCCGGCATTGTGGTCCAGTCGTCCACCCTTAACTATATTAAGGGCCCATTCAAATTTGTTTTTAAAGACGTTTGACTGAACAAACATGATTTATTGAAATTTTAATAATATAATTCGANAAACAAAATTGATTTATCAAATTGTCCAATGAAATCAAATTGCTTTTAATGAATAAAATGATTTAATTGAAACAAGTTGAGTATTTAGTTCATTTTAAACGAATAATCCCTAGACATAGACTAGTTGAAAGTTATCTAATTCACAATATTTTAACTAAAGTGCAAACGAATGCTAATTTTACCACTCTGTATATTAATTTATCCATAGATTTTTCTAAGTTTTGTACATGGCCGCAATACTAGATGAATTTATAAAATGACGAATGAAAGATACATTCAACAGCACATGTGACCATACATTTTTGTTGCAAAGTAGCTTCTGTTACAACTTCATAAGATCCCACAGTATTTAACTTTATGTGCTGTCCCTCGAATAATGTTTTACTCGTATAATGTGTAGTTGACTTTGACCACTTCTGCTAAGGTTTAATTTACATTGCCTTTCAACCACATTCATTATCGCCTTGGTAAGGTCAAATCTATTTGTAAACGACGCCAACGCTGTTATCTGTCCAGTGTCCATACGAGTTTCAACGAAACATGTTGTCAATATACTGATTATGAGGTGTATTAAATAGTATAATTTCTTCTTTATTGATAACACGTTGAACGTGTTTGTTTTGAAAATGATTACAAACTGTGACAGTGATTTTAGTTTGTTTCTTATCAAACAAAACTTATCAGGCAAAACAAGTGTTAACACTCAGCCAGATTTGTGAACAATATTGTGAATGATACAAAGGAAAATGCACGCGTACAAATTGAAGCCAGTGTTTTGTTTGGCAGGAGTTACCAAAACGGTCGTGAGGTAAGCAAACCATTTCCAATTTTACCGAGCATGTCACAGTTAAATACTTATTTTAACAGAGTTTTTTTGTTTCATTTAAAAGTGAGTAATGTCATTTTTCGCCATTCATAACAAATGTGTGCTAGACGATTCATCGATCGATGTGTTACTTAAATACACGTATTCTAATTATGCTTAATTATATGGCTTACGCAATAATAAGAATTATAATGAACCAAAAATTTTATAAGCAAATCAATGTTGGGATTTAACAGACCTAATAAACGCTATAAAGCGATAAAGCCGCGAACTCTTCAATCTGAACCATAATAAAATTGCTTCAGTTGTAATAAAATAACATAATATAATGAGCGATGTTTAATTCCAGAACCGCAACGGTGAATGCCACACAGACAGATAAATTGCCTGTCAAATCATGCAAGGATATTCCCGGACCTTCTTCTCTACCTCTCGTAGGTCCAATGCTTCATTTTCTTCCTGGAGGTATCATTATTTTCATGTTTCTAAACTTAGTTTATAAATACGACTTTAGGAGAGACCGAGGAGACATTGTCGATTTTTGGAAACCTATCAACTATCAGCTAGCTCGCTACAGCGTGTATTTGTTAGCTTAAAACTTGAGCTAAAACGCGCACTGTTCTAGTTTTCGTTATAAGTTCAAAAAAATCAACAATGTCACAAATCTCCTCTTTTACAACTCACTTCGGTCTCTCCTCTAAGCAATCTCTTCAGGTCCCCTAGACAAAGTATCATTCGTGACAGATTCAATTTAAAATCCGCGTAACGTCCGAGCGAAGCGATTTTGGAATGAATACTGTCATGCATTACTCTTAGTTTAAAATCTAAGGTCTTAAAAACAACTAGATATAACAACAAATTGTTCGAGAAAGGCAGTGGCACCGGTATATTTTTAAATAAAATATTCTTTATTCATATTCTCCAATCTAGAAAAAAAATTTTTTTACTTACAGGAGATATGCACAATTTGGCGGCATTCGAGTTCGGAGAGGCTCTTTATAAGAAGTATGGACCTATTGTTAAGTTATCTGGATCGTTTGGTAGAGACGATATTTACCTATTATTTGACGCAGAAGCCTCCGCGCAGGTACATATTTTGTCATTTCAATTTAAAATACTGTTAACTTAAAGCATATTCATCATCATCATCATTTGGCCATGGTTATTTTGCTCAAGTAATTCAATTTTGGTTTAGGTACTCAGATCTGAAAACTGGTTACCAACGAGACCTGGCATGGAATCATTGGTATACTACAGAAAATCAACGAAAAAGTCTGATCAACCGACAGGGTTGGTTTCTGAGTAAGTGATATTGTTAATTAACTATTTAGGCTCTATGTATATATATGTATATGTATCATCAATAAACGACTTGTAGTACTTAGGTAAAGTTATAATTTTGTAGTTGATTCCACACAGCAGCAGATATTATGTCGTCATGAAAGTATTTTTTTTTATATATTGTCGTCGAAGGTATGTCATCATAGAAACCAGATGAAAGTCGACTTTGAATATGTTTCTTAAAATGTTATCTTTTCTTCTAGTCAAGGAGAACATTGGAAACAGTTCCGCTCTACAGTGAACCCAGTCATGCTGCAGCCAAAAACCATAAAATTATATAGAAATGCACTTGATGAGGTGGCTTTGGATATGGTTAAAAGGTAAAATTAACTTGATGTTACATGTATACTAGAACTTAATTAAGAACGACTGTCGGGCGTAGTATATTTTGCAGCCAATAGTAGCAGTACAAACGTATTTTGTGTAGCAAAAAAGCTAAAGACGAGAACTTTTACCCCCATGACGTGATCCATCTGAGAATTAAACTAAATAACCTCTTTCTTTTCCAGGATGAAATCTAATCGCGGTGACGACAATATACTCAAAGGCAAGTTTGACATGGAAATGAACCTTTGGTCCTTAGAATCAATAGGTTTAGTGGCCCTCGGGCGTCGTCTCAACTGCTTCGACCCAAACCTACCACCTGATTCTCCAGCAAAAAAACTGATTCAGGTCGTACGTGACATATTTGAAGCCGCCAATGATTTAGATTTTAAGCCTAGTTTGTGGAGGTATTATTCTACAAAAGCCTTTAAGAATGCTATGAGGGTTTACGAGGAGCAAGAAAAGTAAGTTGCCAACTAAAACACCACGGTTTGTCAATAAAAAACATAAAACATTAATTCAATCCGAATAACATTATCAAATATCTGAATAAGCTCATTTGTTTTAGGATTGCAAAATATTTTATCGACAAAACTATACTAGATCTTAAATCTGGTAGCAAAACAAAGCCTGACGATGAAAAGGGTGTTCTAGAAAAGCTACTTGATATAAATGAAGACGTTGCGCTAATAATGGCTTCAGATATGCTCCTGGCCGGAGTGGACACGGTAAATTATGCTCTGTACCTTCACCAGAAATTGATAAAATACCTACATCAGTATCCTGAAATTGCAGTTTTTGCCATTGGAATTTATAATTAGGTGCTCGACATAAAATGTTTGTCTCAAAATCTTTAACGCGAGTTTGATCGATATTATATATTATTATTTAAATCCACTCTATAATCATTCAGTCATATGTCTGTTTCAGACTTCAAATACAATGACTGCAACACTGTACCTTCTGGCAAACAATCAAGAGAGGCAAGATAAGCTGAGAGAAGAAATTCTATCTAAATCTGAGAAAAGAACCTATCTTAAGGCCTGCCTTAAAGAATCGCTGAGAATGATGCCAGTAGTTACCGGAAATGCCAGACGAAGCACTAAAGACTATACTCTTCTCGGATACCACATACCGAAAGGAGTAAGTAATAAATATTATAAATATTCATATTCTGTTTCAATTTTGCACGATGTGGCATTTTATGAAATACCTAGATTCGAATTCGAAACGACCTAAAAATATTTTTTTCTCTATTCCATCGTTTAATTTGTGTTTGTTTCCATCCTCGAAAACACCACGTTGGAAGAATGTTTATTTCTTACTGTTTGTGGATAAAACCTTTTATGTTATTAAATACATAAATAATTGATGATTTATTTTTTCACATTTTAGTCGACCATTACATTTATGCATCAAGCGATGTCTATACTTGAGGAATATTATCCACGTCCAAAGGAATACCTCCCTGAAAGATGGATCGTTGGTAAAGATGACCCATTGTTTCATGGGAATTCTCATCCTTTCGCGTACAATCCTTTTGGATTTGGGGTGCGCAGTTGTATTGGTAAGTTAGCCTTACATTTTACTACAGTAAGAATCGCTATTACAACTATTAGTAAGGCGTTTAAAACTTATTTTTATTCCCTAATGATTCCAGGGCGTCGGATAGCCGAGTTGGAGTTGGAGACCTTTCTGTATAGGTTAATAGAGAATTTCAAAGTGGAGTGGTTTGGAGCCCCCATCCAAGCTACGGCATCATCTTTGAACTACATAACAGGACCTTATAATTTTGTATTTAAAGACGTATAAGAATGGAAAGCTGAAACAACGATAAAGACCCATATACTTTCTAAATTTTCATACGCTCGCAGCAGCAACATGCTCGTAAATAACGAGATGCTTTCATGATACATGCGACGCCGACAGATGACACAATTGAAAAAAAAACCATTACAAGTTTAATGAAGAAACGTGCAGATGCAAGACTATAAATCAAACATACTTCAACAACATTTTACTAACGAGATATTAAGAACATGAACACTCATGATTCGTCAACGTAAACCTAAAGACCATTTTCATTATCACTGAAAGAGATTAAAATTCAAGGGGAAATCAATTTTCACCGTTTTATCGCGCGCATTAATTTGTTCAGGTGGGGATTCTTGGATGGCTCAAACTTTAAGTGTAAATGTGATTGTGTTCCCTAAGTAGTCGATGAAGGACAATGTGATGTTGTGCCCTGTGTGCCCAAACAACTGCACGCAGAAAGGTTTAATGAATGCTACTGACAACGCCATTCTTGTAGCGGAGATTTCGGCTGACACTGTATAGGTATCTATAGGTTTGTTGTCGACACGACAAGAAGAAGAATCATTAATTTTATAAGTCACCAAACTATGTAGCATTGCCGTGGGTGGATTAACAATCAATCGCGTTACAAAACACATTTTTATATGATACACCTGAATAATTTTAAGTTTAAATCACAAAATATTATTGTACGTATGTCACTGACGAAGTCAGAGGACAGACTGAAGGAGTTACTACAAGTATATGTGCAAGTAGTGCAGATAGTGATGTGACGTTTCTATAAACAATAAGAGTGAGCGGTGGTGGTTAAGCTATCCCTTTCACTCCTTGTGATTGTATGTTTTTAAGTTTTCTATAGGTTACAGATAACGCTACCTGCTAATTAGCATATTTTGAGATAAGATTTAGGCTAACATGTGGTATTTTTTGTTATCTCCACTCTCTATTGTTAATGTATAATTGCAAAGGAATGTTAAACTAGCTGAAGTACGTACCAACCAAACTTCCCCTAAAAACAAAACTTGAACTGGAAAAGGGTTATTATTAAATGTAAATGTTTTCTGTTTTTTAGAAATTACCGTAAACTGTATTCAAATCACCTCGGTGCTGCAATTTAATAAACGAGATTTATATTTTGATGCCTTAGATTGGGAATTTTTATTATCAAATTCGCCATTCACTTTGAACTAACCATAGATTAAAATACTTACGTTGGTAATTTTATGCTTAGGGCCACACAAATTAATGTTCCTCAGCCAAATGAGCCTTTGCTCAACAAACGCACATAAAGAAAATGTTTCGTGTTAGTTCCCTAATAAATTGTATAGATGTAGGTAGGTACCCCAAGAATGGCATCAGATTGTGGATAACTGATAATCTGATTAGTGTTCTACCAAACAACAAACCTTGCAAGCAACATCAGAGCGACAGATGCGTTATAGCAAAAAAAATCCAGTAAGAACCGAAAAAAATGAACTGAGCCTACATTAAACATTGGTCTTGTGAGTTTTCGTAACGTATCCGTCATGAACATTTAATGCATTTTTTTACGCAGTCGATATCGAATATGTTTGATGTAAACTCACACCAATCTCCTTAAGCCAATATTTGTGCTGCAACCATTTTTCTTCTCCATACATAACACTTCATACGTCCAAGCCTCCGAGGGGACGTGCCTCAGTATGACTTAACTTTTCGACATGGGTCTTACCCACATCTCTCAGCCGAGCGGGCCAAGATTTAATGCAGTGTGCGATAGTTTAATCTAAGAAGCATTTGCCACAATTTCTCACAAAACTCTTTAACGTTATCAAACATTTACCATAATAGCATTTTGGAATTTTGTTACCAAAATAAATTTTATTCACAAAGATTTTTAAAACCGCTTCTATTGTTGTCAGATAATATCTGGTTTCGGTTAAATTGTACCCATTTTGTAAAGCTTTGCATCCATGAAGCTTAAACCATTTTTAGGGTTCCGTACGCAAAGGGTAATAACGGGACCCTATTGCCATGGCTCTACTGTCTGTCTGTTACCAGGCAGTATCCCATGAACCGTGATAGTTAGACGGTTAAAATTTTCACATATTACTCCAATTCATGTATGCGAGTCATTTCTACTAGTATTTAAGTAATCTGTAAGTCTAGATATTAGCACGTCACTACCTTGTTTAATATACCACGCAATTTTGTATACCCATTCTTATAAGATACACTATACAAGAATGCATGGTAAATTCAGTGAACTGCTCCTGAATCGAATGTACCTACTACTGCTATTTCTATTTATTTATATTAACCGGCAGACAGTGGTGACTGAGTTTGTTGCGGCGCTTCTTCTCAGTACTTGCCAAATGTTGGTCTCGAAGCGCTGGTAGGGTAAAAAGATTATGAGACATGTAGAGGCTCCTTAAGAGCAAAATGACGATTTGTAAGAACTATTTATTAGTCTAAACAAATAAAGAAATTTTGACTTTGACTTTGACATAGTACCTACAATGTATTTCTGTTGCTTTAAAACTTTTTTTCTGTTTTTTATAATGTAGGTAGGTATAGATAATGTCACGGAAGCCTTCGTGCGGGGAGTCCGACTCGCACTTGGCCGGATTTTTTTAAACTTTTTCAACTTCATCGAGTACATAAGTGGCATTGTAACGAGCTTAGGACGAGCTTGCTATAAGCTTGCAACTTAAACATATCATGCTTTAGTAGCAAACTTGAAAGTTTATTCCTCGCTCTTTTATACTCTAAACTATTTTCTAACTTCACTATGTAAGACACATATTTTTTCCAAACTTTTATGTATCCAAACAGGATGAGTAATTTGGTATTGATATTCAACAATTATTGAAATAAGAGTACCTACTGTTAATTGTCAAAAATCTAAATTTAGAGATGAACTACACCGAACTGTCCCACTAGTGACACTGACAAGGAGAAATAATATAATATTTAAGTTAAATATCCAGTGATTTATTTATGGAAATTGATCTTCTTCTTATTCGTTACGCTCTTGTCACGTTGAGGCGTTGTTCACATCGGTTGTAGAGGCGGATACAACTCTCCGCACGAACTCCCGCCATCTCTCTCTATTGGCAGACTGTCTGGTGCAGGAAATAGATCTTACCAGCCTTTAATACCAATACTTTTATGATTCGTTAAATAACTGCAATCGAATGAAGTGGTTGTTCATTTGAGATTTATGATCTAAATAAACCGTTGTACAAGGTTTTACTGATATGTAAACTTATATATGCGTTAATAACGCTAAAAGCCTGTAGTAGGCCGACCGCGCACGCAGACCTTTCAATATTGGTAATGGAGGCCAGCGTGTCGGCCACTTGGGCGGAATTTATTCGAAGGGGATTTATTTAGACTAATGTTTTTAATTAAAAAGTCAGCTGGGCCCACATATATTATGTTAAGATTCATATATTTACCTACAGCTTTTTCACGCGACCTCACCACTATCGATGTCGGTCGGGAGTTCAAAATTATATAAAATATTTTTGATTTGATTTGAGTTTTGGAATCCTTGAGGGAGATCTTTCTTTAGATGTTGACGTTATTTAGTTGAAACGAAAGAAGAGCAGAAAACGGCGATGCACCGAGAGCTCTAAAAGCATTTTTTTTTCATACCAAGACGACCTTTAATATCACCGATCATGTCAATAGTATTATTCTACATTCCATAAGTTTTAAAGAAAATATGTGTAATCTTGTGACTAAAGACTCATATAAAGCTGTTTTAAGTACTCTCATGAACATAATGGTGAATGCTGAGCCATTTTCAGCAGTCATCGCCTCGCGTATTATCCCTGACGTACGAGCATATCCATTAGGGCTGACAACTTGACATCTCTACCTAATTTCTCTGTATTGAGTATATTTTTTCATGATTCAAAAACTGAAAGATTTTTTCAAATCAAAAGGCATGCAGGCCAAGAGCTTGCTCGTTGTGGATGAAAAACAAACAAATCTTTCCTCTTTATAATCATTACTTTTAAAATTGTAGAAGTGTGGATAACTTAAACAGATCATTTTTAAAATACGGATGCAATCTCATCTGATGTAAATGATGTGGAAGCGAGTTACATGCGCTTTACAAATAAGTAGAGTGGGGTGAATGTGTACATACTTCCAGTACGTAGTATTCTATGTACTGTGACTGTACCTATTAATAAATAAATAAATAAATAAATAAATTATTTAATGTCTAAATACCTATACAAGTTTTAATAGCCGAATAATAACTTTCAGCGATATAGTTAATCGAGATTTTAGTTTGTACAGTTGGCAACCCTGGCTATGGGGCTCGCATATCCGTTAAGCTCTTATAGCCTATTTGCGGCGTGGTGCATTCGCGGCACATATCCTACTGAACACATGTCATTACGTTATGAAATTGTTACTTTTCTGTAGTTGGCACTGAATTTTACTAAGCAAAATATCTCTTTTGGGCCTTGTAGAGAATGTGATCTGTTTTGTTTTCCTAAAAAAATCATTCAGTCTTCTTTAAGATTTTGCTCAACTTATTAAAATGAGAGTATCAAAATTAAAATCTTGTAAGATTTTTGATAAGATACCTTTAACGGGTTTTTGACGATTTGGCATAAATCGATTCTTCGACACTTCTGCAAGTTCCATACATCTATCTTATCTATCTTCGATGTTGTTTTAAAATGTTTGTCGTAGTCCAGGGCAGGTCTAAACGGTAAGCAAATACGCGCGCGATATTGTTTTTCTGTGACAGACAAAATTCCACGTGGGCGAAGCCGCGGGCGGAAAGCTAGTAGTAAATAAATTCGTCATAAACACGATAAAGTATACATATACTTACTCAAATATCATTTGCTACAAAATAATAAAAGTGTGACGAACTTACACGTGATTTTGTGGCAAATAGACAATAACCTTTTACCATAGTAAGTATTGTATACCTAAATAGCCATAGTCTTCAATTGTCAGGGTACAGCTCCAATAAAATTAAATTTTCCATACAATTAACTTTCATTCTACCAAATCAGTTGCGCCAGAACAACGCAAAGTGCTTTCGCATTCAATGTTCCGTATTTACATAATTTTATAACAGCGCACCCGCCTCCGACATTGTTGGGATACGAATAAAATTGTAACCAACCGAAGAAAGTTTCTTTGGCGTGTTACACTGGGGATAGAGATTACGGCTAAAACGGTAAAAATCAGTAACTGATATTTTGAGGGTTTTGCTCTCCTGTTGTTTTTAAAAGCAAGCTGTGTGCAAAGCAAACACACAAGGCCCGGTTTCCACCGGAGCCGAGCAGAGAATTGTGTTGAGTAACCAGATTTCATTTCCCACTTCTCGTCTCCGTCCCGCTTAGCTCCGCTCCGCTCCGCATGGCTCCGCCTTGGTGCAAACCAGGCCTTATGCGCATAACATGTAATATGCGTATTATACATTAGTAAGTACAACTTTAAAAGGGCTTAAGATCAATACTTTTTAAACAAATTGTTTAAAAACTAGTACATTAGTTATAAAATAAAGTGAATACTTAGTAAACACGGGTTTACTTACGCGCGCAAAAACTAGTATTTCATTTAGTTTACCTATACGTTAACTTCGTTGATAAACATTTCTGTTGTTCGTCCTAGAACCACATCCCTTTTTCCTATAAACAAATCTCGTAGCGGTTAACATAATATTATGTGAATAGGGGATAATTCAGTAGGTTTTAATAAAATGTATTTACGAAAACTCTACAAACTAAAACTTCTATGTAGGGTGGAATTTTGTAATGCCACGACAGTACTCTTAATACTGTAGAATCTACAGTGTAGATAGACAATTTTATAAATTTTTTGGGCGTTTTTGATATCGATTTTTTTCATTTGGCTCAAAATGTTGAAAAGCGCACATTTTTTGCCACGTTAACATAAATACCTACTGTAAGTTCGCCGCCATGGCAATCTCCGCCGATGAAATTGCCTGATAAAAATCACAAGCATAAAAGAAATCCTCATTTAAATATGGGGACTTCATAAATCAGCGCCTTATTCACGGATCGTTATTGACTGGCATATTCCTTGAACTTCCCACACAAATATTGGAGTCACGAAATATTTGCTGGAGTTAGGAACTTTTGAATATTTTTTCAATTACCTGCCTTTCATAAGAGTTTAATGTTATTGTTGGTACTATATTCTTCTTGAAATACAATTTTTCCTAGTAAGGAATTAAGTAAGAAGTCACTCAAATAAAACAATGTTAAAAAAATATTGATTTAATTAAAATTTTGGACTACAAGCAATTAAATTTAGAATGTAAGCCAACATATATTATTATGTTTGTTACAAAATATTTTGGACACAGCACGGATTATTGGGTATAGTATTGCTTCAAGTACACAGTCATATTTTTTTGTGATTCAAAGATTATTAGCAATTTGTATTGTATCTAATAGTCCCGTTAGCCGCTCGTGTTAAGCTAAATAAACTTGGGTTACGAGTGGGCTCACCACAATAGTCGAGCGGCGGTGGGATTCGAACCCGCGTTCCTCGGATCTTGAGTCGGCCAGTCCGACCACTTCACGTGACTTCACCGTTGGGCTATCGTGGCTATTATACTATGTATAACTGATAGATAGAAAAGAATAGAATTAATAGATACCTATTTACTTAAATAAAATCGATTTTTGTTTATGCGTTATCTCGGTGCATATTCATACATCTTTAAATATAAAATTATATGGACCCGTAATGTAATTAAGAGAGGATGGAGTAATTTCAATCGGTTCTCCAAACCATTCTACTTTGAAGTTTTGGATGACCCTTGCTAGGAATATTTCCATTTCTAATTCTGCTATGCGGCGACCTGAAACAGATAATAATTATTACGTTATACCAATTGTATTTTTATACGTAAACTAATTTATATCAAATCAAAGTTCATTGTTAAACAAATGTTTGAAAAAAAAACACAAGAAAAAATTTTGAAACAATTTTAGGTCACATTTCGGAAAAAACATTAAAACAAGTAGCTCACTTTTTTTTGGCTTTCAAGGTTTGCTTTTAGCCACAACGGTAGTAGCTTAGCTCTCTTAGGGTCAAATGGGCTCATTCACGAAGTTTGTCTAACCCACCTTGTGTAACCAATTAACATTTCTTTCTAGCAAATGCACTCACCTATACAACTGCGAATTCCGAACCCAAAAGGCAAGTATGCGAACGGATGTGCATTGCCGTGGTAGAGAGGGTCGTCCTTTGAAGCAATCCATCTTTCAGGAAGATATTCCTTAGCTCTATTAAAATGTTCTTCTTGCATTGACATGGTTTGATGCAAAAATGATATGTGCGCCTGAAATTATTATAAATATTTAGCTTTTGTTGCATATTTGAATTTATTTGGAGTTTCCCTGCGTGATCGATTCAGAAATTAGGAGATCCGCAGGAAAACCAAATTGACCGACATAGCCGGCAGAATTGCTAAACTTATGTGGCAGTGGGCGAGGTACATAGCTCGTACTTAGAGCTAATGGCCGTTGGGGCAGAAAAGATCTCGAGTGGCGACCACGGGCGCGGAAGATGGAGTATGGGTAGGCCTTCCACTAGGTGGACCGACGATCTGATGAAGGTCGCAAGGAATACCTGGATGCGGGAAACGCAGGACCGGTCGTTGGGGAAATCATTGGGAAGTCTTTATTTAATTTTAAAATCAATTGCAAAGTTGAATGATCTTACCCCTTTTGGTAGCACATATCCCAATACATTATGGTCTTTGGTAGTCTGCCTGAAATTACCGGCAACTATTGGCATCATTCTCATAGCTTCCTTGAGGCAGGCTCTCAGGTACGGACGTTTTTCGGAACCGGAGTTCAACTCCTCTCTCAGTTTGTCCTGCTTCTCTTGATTGTTGGCCAATAGATACAAAACGCCTGTTATTGAGTTTGCTGCCTGGCGTAAAGGAAAGGAAAGATGTTTTAAAAGTAATATTATAATCCTTTATTAGAGATATAGTTAATCTTCTTTATCTCCAGTCTTTAATAGATGTAGAATATAGCGTCATTTTGCAAAGCATATTATTATCTGCAAGTAAATTAGGTAACGCGAAAATTAGGAAAATATGTTTTAATCAAAACCAAACTTACAGTATCCACGCCTGCAAAGAGCATGTCAGAAGCCATGATGAGTGCTACTTCTTTATTTATATCTAATAACTTCTCCAAAATGCCTTTTTGATCCTCCGTCTTTCCCTTCGTTTTTAGCTCTTCTATTGACTTATCAATAAAGTATCTGGCAATGCTGAAATTAAATTATTTTGATTAATTAAAAAGTACCTGGTTTACGAGTATTAGATTAGCATTTTTATCTTTCCCCTTAAATTATGATATTTATTTTTGTTCACTTACTTAGCTTGTTCCTCGTACATCTTCATAGCTTTTTTGTAGGTTTTCGTTGGATAGTACCTCCAAATGCTAGGCTTGAAGTCTAGTTCATTTGCTACATTGAAAATTTCGTGAACCAGCTTAATAAGTTTCTTCTCTGGAGAGTCTTCTGGTAGATTGGAATCAAAGCAGTTTAGGCGACAACCGAGTGCTACTAAGCCTATTGACTCTAGCGACCACAGATTCATTTCCATGTCAAATTTCCCTTGGAGCATGTTGTTATCCCCACGGATTGACTTCATTCTGAAAAGTAAAAGTTTATGGATTTTATTTACGTGTTTTGTGATCGAAGTTTTGTCTTAGAGCACTAGGCTGGAGCAGTCGAGTTGACATTACATGGAACGAAATAACATCTAGTTACACGTTAAGGTACCTTAAATTAGTTGAAACAGGTGTGATTTTGCAAGAAAAATGACTATTTTTATGTGCGGTCGTACACAGTACCGGTTTTCTATTACAAGTAATTACGCTCTGATGCGAGTATAATAACAACAATTATTTTAGTTTATTACCTTTTTATCATGTCCTGGGCTACTTCATCGAGCTGGTTGGTGTACAATCGGATTGTCTTTGGCTGCAGCATGACCGGGTTTACTGTAGTGCGGAACTGCCTCCATAGATCACCATTGCTAAAAACATAATAAAAACACTAGGTACCTACCTAATTTTTTTTTAGTACCTACTAGTATTACTATCTACCCCTGAATCAAAGTACCTTACTAAGTTGTTAGGACTGTTTTAAAAAAAATCTTTGAATTTGACATATCCTCATCTTAAATACAATTTGGTACACCAATCGATTAAATATAATGTGTTTGAATTATTTTGCTTGAAATTGTGTAATGTGTTTTTTTAAAATCAGTACTATTCCTAAAGCAATTTGAAGCGGTTTTAGGGCTCACAGGCATAATTGCCGATTTTTGTTTCAATTACTTATAGCCCCGTCAACCCCTTTTGCTATCTTCCTTATAGTTCAGTGAAGGTTAAGTTCGAACCAGCGTTCCTCGGATCTCGAGTCGGCTAGTCCGACACCTTCACCGTTGGGCTATTCTCGCTACGAGTTCGTAATTTTCAGTATTAATACAAGTACCTACTCAGTAATTAATCCAGTCGGCTCATTTTCTTTCACCTTGGATTTCCTGTAGTAATCAAGGGAGGGAAATCCTGGCCGTAAGGGCATCGTGTTTTCTGATCGAAGGATCTGAAAACATTTTCAAAGGAATTGTCATCAAAAATAGGCGCTGCAAGAAAACTAACTAAACTAAGTAACTAATTAAGTAAATCAGCTCACATGGGCAGATATTTCCGCGTCATACAAGAAGTACATATCGGGTCTCCCGAACATTCCTTCAAGCCTGACGAATGGCCCGTATTTCTTATACAATATATCTGCGAAATCCTTCAGCGCCACATTGGACATCACTCCTGAAATGTACATGTCAACATGAAGTTAAACCCCAATAAAATATTTTATAGGTGNTATAGGAAACGTAGTAGGTGCGAATTTGAAACAATTACGAGTAGTCTATGTTGGTGACTGTACGTATCATCGTTCTAGACTCTACAAACCAGTATCAAGAATGAATACACGAATAATTAATAAAAAATATATTATAGCTAGAGGCTTTGTCCGCGTGGATATCGATAATTATATGCTTATGTGCAATTTTGATGAGTTCATCAAACATAGCTTTGTACAGTTTTATCAAGATCAATTTAGTTATTTTACGTGAATGAGTAAAAAACAACCAGTGCCGAACCGGTCCTTGTGAAAATCATCGGGGAAGGCCAGCTGTGGATGTTATTTAGTTGAAATAATGAGATGATAGATTTTTTTACCTCCAGGGAGAAAGTGGTGCAGTTGACCAATAATGGGCAACGACGGAGGCCCTGGGATCTCCTTCCATGATTTTAATGATTGTGTACTTTCGACGGCACTCACTGCTGCATTCCTGCAATATTAATTAAAGCAGTATATGAAACCAATAAATCAGTAAGAGTAAGTAAGTAAGCTAGCAGTGGGTATTTAAATTACAGACATCAGTTTTCAATATAATTTAATTCGAGTTTGTACTGTGTATTTGATGTATTAATATTATCACTAAACTACACAAAGGAATATTCAAATTCCATCTTCGAAGGCCCCATAGACATAGAGTGATGTATTAAATAAGTTATTGCGATAATATCTAGACTACGTTAACTTTACATTTTGTTATCATTACAAAAGTTAATTAAACACGGGTTTCATCGTTGAGAACCGCCATAGATTAATACGGTAGTACAATATGAAACGCAGATTTTTTGTACTGTCCAATATCCTTAAATATTCTATCCATGGTGGGCTGGAAGAGATCTCCATAATAACCTAAGTAACCATGCAAAGTTCTGGTGTACTTTCTATATTTCTTAGCTCTACCTTAACGTAAGTAAAACCTTTGCTCTTTTATATAAATAAAATTAAATAAATAATCTCAGAATTAACAGCACAATTTTAATTTTCAAACACAAACAATCAGGTATTATTTATAGATTATTGTTAGCTCATATTATTATATGTATAAATAAAAAATAAATAATCTCAGAATCAACTGCACAATTTTCATTTTCAAACACAAAGAATCAGGTATTATCATTTATAGACTACCTATTGTTATCATTAATATCATCAGAGATACACGATATCTCGTAATTTAAATAATGCGGTGTCATTGTTTTTTGTGTTATTGGGATAACAAAGAAAACTACTGTAGTTTACACCTAGGTAGGTATAAACGACAGTCATTAGTAACTTAATTATGCAAGATATTATAATTATATTACCCATACCCGTAATTAAGATAATTAAGATATCCAAACCCGTAAAATCTTAAATTGATTTCAGACTAACAATTAAGTAAACATTAAGAAGTGGAAAGTATTTACTTTTCGTTGTAGCATGAAAATATACTATAGATCTAAATAAATAGAATAAAATGGTCTAATGCTACTAATAAGTACAGGTTTGAGAAAACCTAAGCAGTTAAATCCAATTTCATACACACAGTTCTGAACTCTATACTGTACTTGATAAAAAATTGTAATCTAACAATGAAACCAAAAAATCTTACCTAATAATGTTTTTGCTGACTGTAGCCAAACTAATGACAGGTCGCACCTTCAACGTTTGCATGTTGACACAAACTTCACTCGACTGTCTCCTATCAGCTGGATAACACAGCGTTGCTCGTTATCGCTTCGACTAAAGTCATGGCCACATAATAACCAAATAATCCGTTTTACCAAACTGTCGAAGGACAGTCATATGTGTTTGTACCCTTAATCAAACACGGATCTTTAGATTTAAACGCATCATCTCTATGTATGTGATGTTAATTTCATAAACTAATCACCAAACTTTTGCTCTATCTATATTATATGTTGCTTAATTCATTATCTGCGGTTCAATATTCTATACTCGCCTGGTTCACGAGAACTATAAATACCGTTATCATTATGCAAAGTAAAAAGTATGATAAATACACTGTTTAACGAATAAGTTTTACCGCAAAATTACCTTCCTAACTATCGATGCGATAAACAAAAGATAACGACAAATCACGAATTAATAAAAAAGCGCACAATAAAACATTTGACGCAAAAGATTACATTAAAAACAACATAGTTTTTTAATAGTTACACGAACTGCTACAAACAGAACGGACCGTCAAACACTACTCGTTCGTGCCTCACCGTATGTTTATCAATGATTTTGACCTTGGTTGGGCTATTATTAAATTTAAATAATCGACCCATTCGAGTTTCAACCTTATCGCTTGTGTCTAAAATCTAAGATTAAATGTTGGTGTCAGCAATAAGAGTCATTAACTCTGATCTGTTACACTCGTATTCACAAACGATGCTTGCTTAGGTGACGCAGCAAATCGAACGCACAGCGTTGAATAGAGCTTTGTAATTGGTTCGCGTGTGACCCTGTGCGTTCACGCGCACTGTGTGTCTCATAGTTTGTGAATACGAGCGTTAGACTAGTAGACTGTTAGCTATTAGACTGTTGTTTACAGTAATCATAAGATAATCATTATGTGAAAAATGATTACCAGAGTAGATTCAGTCGCTCTATTTTTATAGGAATGCGTATGTGTGTTAGTAAGTCCCTTCAAATTATTTTGTTTAAAGCTCATTTATTATTTGTGAATGTTCTATATAAAACTAAAATAGTTGAACCCGACAATCGTAAAAGTTTTGATTAGAATTTCTGTTTTTACCGGACATGTTGCGTGTTCTATTATAAAACTAACTTTATTGTTTTAGTTGTTTGTGATTTAATTCATTTTGTAATTTAAGAATTCGCCTCTACGTTTTTTTTTCGGTTATAAAGTTTCATAAAAGAGTAAGTTGAGTTGACAAAAGACTGAAGAAAGTTGGATTTTTGTCTCAACATCCAGTAATAAAGCCTGTTCACTTCATTACAACGACTCAATCAGCAGCACACGCTCGTATTCAGGACGGCTATGTGATGCGAGAAGGAAGCCTTAATCCCCTTCGAGGCGTTTGTTTGAAAGCTCTCGCCGGGATCAGTGAAAGCTTACGTGCGTTCATTGTTTTAAAAACGCCACTTATAAAGGACGGAAGTACAAAGGGTGTGAAATTCACGCGTAATTTCGCTCAGCCTCTTATTTGGTATGGTAATGATCGTGGCGGAGAAATGCTCAATTGAAATGAGAGTGTTTTATGTTTGCAGAAAGATAGGAAACTTTTTCGGTTATAAGTAACAGACGACGCATTTAATAAGATGGATACTTAAACGCTGCTTCTGTCTTCTGCCGCACAATTTATAAACGCAGTAAGTAACAAGTGAACAGTTTCGAGAAAAACGCGATCAAAGTTGAAATTTACTTACGGACTTTGTCTCGAATGTATCGAAATGATCACAGTATTTTTATTTATATTTGCACTATTTCTTTCCCACCATGATATGCAGATGCATTTGCGCTATTATTCTGATTCTATTTCAATAAAAAGTATGACAACTTTTGAATACACAGGCAGGTCACTGGTGTAAAAAACTTCACTAACACAAGACAAAGCAAAATATTCATTCACTGGCTTTACTGCCTTGGTTGACTGGTAAATTTTGATTTCTACTCGGGACTATTCCCAGCTCTCGTTCCCACCGCTGTAACTCCTGAGTAACCAGGATCTACAGCTGGCTGCCAGTAAAATTAAAAAGTAAAACGAATTTAGACCCTAATAATTAACAAACACTTCTTATTATGAACTATTTTCGTTCACCCGTCTCCCATGGCATTCTTTTGAATATGATACATGTCTCGTTAAACTTCATACGATATAACTAGTCATGCAATGCGAACTGTCCATGCTCAACTATTCAAAAACAGGCTACTAGGCATACAGTGTACGGCCAGAGACAAAAAGTTTGCAACTATGTTTGGAACGAACGAACACATCCCACAATAACGCCAGGAATTCAAGATAGCCATAAAATACACAAGTATTTTACTTCCTTGTCATATTTGTATTTTTTTGGCGCACAACTACTAAACTAGTATTCTGACAAGTTTATATTGTTCTAAAAGTGTAGTCGCTATTTGCTAAATTTTCGTCTTAATAATTTACGTTTTTTAACGTAACGACGAACGTACACACAAAAGGTTACAGAATTTGTAGCACCCTAACAAGAGCACATCCTTTTACTGATAAGAGAAAATTAAGCTTCTTTTAACAATAAGTACCTACGATTGAAAGTCTAAGGCTGAGTTGCACCATCTTACTTTAACGTTGACAAACGTCAAAAATCTGTCAAGCTCCATTCAAAAAGCATCGGTTATTGTCAAAGTTACGGTCAAAGTAAGTTGATGCAACTCAGCCTAACTGTTCAATTTGCAAAGTGGAGCTGGATTTACAATAGAAAAACATTTCTTTTGCGCTGGTTAAAAGGTTTGTTGAAATCTTTAAAATCACAGTTGAAAAGGTGCGTACTACGAAAAGAGCTAAGAAGAGAAAATTATTGTTGTAACCTCTTCAAATGACATTCATTAATGGCAAGGCACTTTGTCTTTCTTGGTCTGACATTTAATTTAGTTATTAGGAATAGGATAAAGGAAGGCTTCGCCATCCGTTTGATATTATGGTTGTATACTTTGAACCGCAATAGGTTGTGGTAATTATTTTCGATCATTATAAAATCGTTTATTTTAGACATCATCCACATAGAATGAGTAGAGTAGATTACCTACGCTCGTATTCACAAATATTACTATGAGGTCTCACAGTGCGCGTAGACGCACAGGGTCACACACGAACCAATCACAGAGCTCTATTCAACGCTGTGCGTTCGATTTGAAGCTTCGTTTGTAAATACGGCATTTAGAAATTGTATTATGTATATTGTATACGGACACGTGACCTTAAATAAGCGAGTCTAGTAAGGGTCTTGTAACAAATACAGCCCTTACTAAGAAAAGCGTTGTCTCCAACCCAACAGCAAGTCACGTTTCATTAGAATTGCTAAAAATAAACTTAATTAATTACTGATTGGGGGTTTTTTCTTTGAGTTCTTTCATTGGGCTGCCTTGTTTGTTTTTGAAAAGATATTTAGTGAATAAATTAAACTAAGGAACCTTTAATCTCTACATTTCTGTAGAGACTTATAATATTATAAATAAATTTCTATTTTTCCTCGTTTGCATGGAACCTAGAGGAATTCCAATTTGCATCAGCAACGGGAAAAATTAAACCGAGCATTGTATTTTCATCTTCAGTCTTCTCATTTTACTGCAAATCAGAAACAACGTTCGTCTATTTCTTACTTTTTGTTTCAAAGCACGGCAATCCTATAATGAGCGCTATAAAAAACCAGATTATCCTTCCTGTAATTTTCTCGATTCGTTGCTCGCGGCGCACCGTGGCCGAAGACAATAAAACAGTCGTTAGAGAAAAAATAAAGTCGCGAACCACGGATACACTGATAGTGATGGGAGAAATAAACAAAATTATCGATAAAATAGACAAAATAATAAGGTGATAGAAAAATAGCAAATTTCCTAGACGCTTCACAAACAGCGTCGAAATTATTTAATTAAAATAGCTAAAATGGATCTCTCTGATCTATCAAGAAGAGAAGAGAAGAGTAGGTACTCAATAATAACATTAGATACATAATGATTGGCAGGCCTCCTACTAGGTGGACCGACGATCTGGTGAAGGTCGCAAGACCGGTCTTTGTGGAAAGGGGCCTTTGTCCAGCAGTGGACGTCATTCGGCTGAAACGAACGAACGAACATATTAATGAATGCTGTCATCTCAAAATATACCGACGACAATGTGTGCGTTTATGGTGTTGAGAGTGCTACGGTACCTTAGTTACTTACTTGGTAAATATGATGAAAGACTTTATCTTGTTGTGCCACTACTAAAGCATCAACATTTATACATTTTATTATCGTCAAGCCAACGACACTTTCACATCACTAAATATTATGCCCGGTCATTCTTTTTTCATAAAGATGAATACGGCAGCGGAAAGTTACGGTATAATACTTTCAAGTTTCAATGAGCAATAACGTCGAGTTTCAAGATTTGTGTCCTGTCACCTCTCCTAAAATATGGTTCTTGATTCAAATCTTTTCAACTTCATCTTTTTTGGCATTCAAATTATTTTTTCTTCACGTATTTGATAGCTTAGGAAGTATGTTGTGAAATGGCTCTAGCAATCATTGGTAGCCTACGAGTAATTATAGTCGATAGAAATATTTCAGTATCGATACAGTTTGCAACCAAATACAAACTAAAGTTAAATACTAGCAATGGAAAAATGGGTGTCAAAAATCACCTCAGGTATTCACTTACAAAATTGCCTTATTCTAGGGCAGATTTACACAGTTTAAAGTTCTCCTAGTCCATATTCATCATTTCAGCCATAGGACGTCCACTGCTGAACATAGGCCTCCCCCAATGCTTTCCATGTTGATCGATTGGCAGCGGTCTGCGTCCAGCGCTTCCCTGCTACCTTTACGATGTCGTCGGTCCACCTTGTAGTTGGACGTCCCACGCTGCGTTTTCCGGTACGCGTAGTCCATATTATTATCTACAAATTCAAAATCAACCATTTATGTATTAAACCTCCGTAATGATATTCATTGTGTGCCTGAAACACTGGAAGGCATTGATTGAAATAAGTAGGATGTATCATGACGTCAGTGCCTCGTTAGGAAGTGTAGGCGGCGCCACCAGCAATGTTACGGACGTTGATTCCATTGTTTGCGAATAATGTTTTACTTGTGGAAAGTTATTTTGGTTCGCATTGTTTATAATGTGTATCATAGCCCTAACATGATAGTGTTTTTTTATCCATAAAAGTATATTTGTATAGTTTGAATGTAAAATTGTAAAAGTCGACAATTTTATTTTACATTCTATCAAAATTCGCTCGAAAAATAAATAACTTATTCGGTGACAGACCGATATCTTCACAAACTTTTATCCATCATGCTGGTAAAAAAACAATAAAATTAAATACTTACTTAGCTATAAAAATTCAAACTTTTTTAATATGGAACAGGACCTACCTATCTAACCAACACATCTTCATAATCAAGCGAGTACAATTCCAAAAGTTTATTAAAATAAACAAGTTCCTCTCTGAAGTTTATGCCACCCTTTTGTTCTCCCAATAAGGTCTTTTGTAAAGCTGCGTGGGACCCTAATTCTGAAGATCAGATAGGGCAAGCCTACTTTGCCCCCGACGTCATTGAGCAAAATTGAATTGTACCGAACAAAAGAACGGTTAGAGGTTGGCACTACAACGCCCCGCAATTTCAACACTCAAAATGCAAATGTTCTAGTAGATTTTATATAATACTGGCTACGCATCCCTATTCCCTTATTCCAAACTTTTTGGCCAGCCAAAAATGAGAACGCAAACACGCCACGAGAGGGCGGTTCAAATCTACTAGAAGACGCGGAACTACCCACGTCCGTCAAGCTCAATGGCGCGCGCGTGCGAGTGAAAAACTGCAATAACAGTGTAAAGACCCGCTGTGTTCAAGAAATATGGTGTGAATTGTGTGTTGTGTGTGCAGCAAGACCTCTATTAGATGTAAGTCCCGACCGGGAAATCTCAAAACCCAGGATTATGCAAGTACCTACTCGTAAGCGTCGTCCGGCAGCGTTGGCCAAGTAGGTAAGTCCTAAAACTTCCCTACCTGTAGCGGTCCAGTCAACCTAGAAACCCTCTCAGGTTCAATCTTTCTTCAGATTTTTTCTCTTTTGTATTATATCGTTACCATGTGGTTATGGCAGAGTTTAACAGAACCACTTCTACAATTCCTGAGGATGTCGTAAAAGGTGACCAAGGGACAAAAATATGCAAACATCAAGCCTCAAAAGAAAGGTTGGCTTGCCAGATGAGAGTCTGGGTAACTGGATAGCGTAGGGAGTATGAGCCAAATCATCCATTTGGCTCAGGTAAATTAGAGAGATTCGAACTTCTGCAGCGAAAATGATTATGGTCGATGATGCGTTGTTTTACAAACTACGAACTGACTTTGCATTTCCTCAGACTGAATATTTCTATACTAGTTCAAGTAACTCATTAGGTACTTCGCTAATTATATTGTAGGACGAGATCAAACAAGGTCAGCCGGGGCTGGTGACGAGTTAAGTACCTACCTCGGCCATAATGAATACAGACGACTCTGCAATGAATATGGCTTCTGAGAGCCACATATTTCTTTGTAACTTTGAGTAATTGGTACCTACTTAGATTAATTAGTAGCAAGAGTGGCACGTACCAGCACTTACAAATATTTACTCGACATGTTTTCTTATTGGTATTTTTGTCACCTGCCACATGAGGTATCGAAATGCCTTTTCACGCCATAACAAAAATAAATCCCTGAGGCCCTCACGGAATATCAAACCAGCTATTTATACGCCAATAACTATGATGTATAGCATCGCAATCAAGATAGAAAGCAGTGGGTTCAATTTTATTTAGTCTTTGTATTTATCAGCTTAAAAATAGGTTATAAAAAACAGTGATACAAAATATTTTTAAAACTAAGGCACCTAGACCCAGTTCAATTCTTAAATGTTCATCATCATTTCAGCCATAGGACGTCCACTGCTGAATATAGGCCTCCCTCAATGATTTCCATGTTGACCGGTTGGTAATGGCCTGCGTCCAGCGCCTTCCTGCTACCTTTATGATGTCGTTGGTCCACCTTGTGGGTGGACGTTCCACGCTGCGTTTTCCAGTACGCGGCCTCCACTCCAGAAACTTTGGAATTCTTAAATGTTACTGATTGGAATTTAATCGATATGTAAAATCCTATCGTGGGAAATACACCTTTTTTGTTATCTTATGACTGTAATAAACTCTAAAGAAGAGTAATTTTATTTACGTACCATGCTCAAAATAACAGTAAATGTATTTAATCTCCGAATAGAGATTCTGAACTGGTTATAATATATGAACAGCTACAAATGTGATTGATAAATGATATCGGCTACCCATACTTAAGGTATACATTCTTTCTACTTTCTAATATAATTTGTCTGTAATATATCAAGCACCTATAGTGGGTTACCCTCCCTCTGGCACTACACGACACAAAAAGGAGGCTCACTTTTTGCTGAATCAGCTTCCATTGTGACGTCAGCATCGGCGGTGACGTGCCCATGACATGAATTATTCGGCTCAATTTTGCCGACAACGTGACAACNACTGGACTATCAGTGTCCTGTGATTATAAATGGCGTTCAAAAAATTTACGGCCGCGATTTTGCGGTTCGAGCGTCACTTTGGACGGCTCGCAACGCTGCAAACGGTTTTCCTGAATAAGCAACTTCATTTTCATGGCTTTAAATGGATGTGTAAAATTATGAAATAATTGTTGTGCTTTCGCTACTTCAATGCTTTTCAAAAGAACTTATTATAGTTTCTTTATTTCTAGCATAATACGTTTATACATAGGTACAATCCCTTACCACATCTTTTGTGACAATATTGTGTTAGCTCTGCCGAAAAAGCAACGTAATACCAACTATAAATCCTACTAGTAATATTATAAATGCGAAATTTTGGATGTCTGGATGGTTGTATGTTTGTTACTCTTTCACGCAAAAACTACTGAACGGATTTTGATGAAACTTTACAGTATTATTGTTTACAACCGAGAATAACATACGAGTATAGGCTATAATTTATGACTATCTGTGACAAACTAAATTTCACGCGGGTGAAGCCGCGGGCAAAAGCTAGTTAAAATACACTTACTTCTAAATGATTACAAGATAGGTAAGTATATTTTTGGAAATCAGGTTTGAGGTAGGTACACATTTTTAACCTTTTATTGCTGTCAAAGGACGCCCATATATTTTCACAATGACAGNGGTCCCGCCCCAGAGCATGACACATGCTGCCTGCACGGCCGCATCCAGGTGCTTCCTGCGACCTTCACCAGATCACCGGGCTACAAAGTAGGAGTGTAATACTAGGTTACAATGAAATTTCGTTCGTTTCAGCCAAATGACGTCCACTGCTGGACAAAGGCATCCCCCAAGGCTTTCCATAATGCACGGTCCTGCGCTGCCCGCATCCAGGCTGGTCGGTTACAATTAAATAATAAATTGTTATCAATTTAATGCTATGAAAAAATACGCTTAAGACATTTAGGCTTATTGAACATGTAGTTTAAAATAGGTACTGGAGTAAGCAGAATAAAATAAATGTTGATAACCCTTAATTTGTCTCGGCGACAAGACCGATCCGCCTTTCTTCTGTTTAGTCGATTGCCGCGACAGATACTAATGAATTGGTAAGCTAAACATTTGAAATCATTAAAGTTGCTGCTATTAATGATTTTCGGTTCACGCCCACCGAGAAAATGGGCCTTTTGAACAAACAATTTAAAGTATTTTTTTAAAATCTGAATCTTTTTTTTACTAATTGGGTTCCAAAACCAACCGAGTAGGTTTAATTTTGGTGTTTATGCGCTGCTTACATACTGCATTTTAAATACCTAGCAATAATATTCGGCTACTTTGTTAAAAATAAGTTTTAAAAAAACCCTCAGATTTTAGTCATCATCAATCTCTATTGTTATTTTTCACAATAGCAAAAACCACTTATTTGTTAATCTTCTGATTGAATGCACCTTAACAAATTCTATACTACCTACCACAAACGCATTTTACTATCGAATGGAGCGATCAAAATGGCCATTCCGATGCATTTTGTGGCGAGCGACGAGTGGCATAAACTGCAGATGCAATATAATAGTGACCGTAATAGCTTTTGCTCACTTGTAAATCGGAAAGCATGCACATACGTGAAATAGCCCATTATAATGTATTGAACAGATTACCATAATAGTTTAAGATATTTTATAGGCTTGCTGAAAGTATAAAGTAATACGCTAAGTAATAAACTAGCATAATATGTATCCTGGATGATTTTTTTACCCATAAATATCTGAAAATACATAGTCTGATATCAGAACCTTAAACTATTTGCTCTTCACACGATAGAAGGGACAAACTAACAACCCAGACCTATAATACTGCTGTTTAAAGAACATGCTTTACAAAGAGTGGTCAGTTTTTAAATAAAAACAATTTTTGAACAAAACAATATTTATTTAAAATAAAGTAGGTAATTTTTAAGAACTAAAAAAAGCTTTTTAAACAGAGATTCAGGAACTAACTAAAGCTTTTTAAACAAAAGAACAGGAACTAACTAAAGTTTTCTAAACAATAATATGGGAAGTAAAGACCAAATCCTCTATTTGCCTCTGGTAACCGGCAAATTAGAGAGGGTCGTGCAACTGCAGTTGGTAATAAATAGGCTGATGATGTTGCAACATTTAATTGATGAGTCCGAGGGTGCGGGCCCTGTCGAGCCAATCGGACCTAGACACGTAGGTGCCTCCGAGCGTCCTTTTTCCTGTGAACGCAGTTCTGCCGTGCAACACTCTAAAGTTATCCATCGCCAAAACCGTCCCTGGAACATTAATACATTTATGTTGAAGCAAGAATAACCAAATGGGGTAGGGACTGAATGTTCGAGATCCGAGAGTGAACAACGTCATCGTTGAACTATTGTGGTGAACACGCTCGCGACACAAGCATTAGCTTACCACAAGGGGTTATGGGACATAAGTAATTAACGCAATATTAATAGTATTTATCATAAAGGCAGCAGGGAAGCGTTGGACGCAGGCCGCTACCAATCGATCAACATGGAAAACATTGGGGGAGGCCTATGTTCAGCAGTGGACGTCCTATGGCTGAAATGATGATGACGATGAAAATATAATGGGCACATTCATACTACTGCAAAATAATCAAGCATTCTGTGATACGGGAATTTACAGGATCGTGCAAACATTGATAGTAAAAAAAGCATCTATTGAATCTAACGGCTCTATCTTCGACGGAAACCTTATTTTTACAAGCTTTATATTGACTTCACTTGTTAGTATGTGTGGGACAAATCTTGCAACTGAATTTAAGACCACTTCTCGTCAACCGATTGAGCTGAAATTTGGTATACTTATGTAAGTACGATGACAATGCAATGTTACGGTACCATTGAGCTGGTCTGATGATGCAGTCAGGAGGTGGCTATAGGAACTCNAAACCTTATTTTTATAAAATGTGATAAGTAATTGAGAAATTTCTCTTTTAAAAACTTTTTCTAATTTCTTTCCCGGTTTCTGAACAATAAATACTTGATGTTTTCTAAGGAATTCTATTTCCAGGGTAATTAATTAAAATCATCAAGTGCTACTTCTACTTCTAAATAATCACTATAGTAAGACAATTAAGACGGTTAATGAAAAACTATTGATTTGCTAAAAGTAATTTGTTAAGTTATGAAAGTGTTTGTTATTACACTTTACGTAATTACTAGTCTCGGATTCATAAGGTTGTTATGCTCTTATTTTTCAAGCTGTTTGCTAACTATGCGTACTTTGCGTACACTGAAAGTCAGGTTCCTAGCGACAAGATCGTCTAAATTGTGCCGATCGATGTCTTTCATGAGTTTTGTTTTTGTTGTGGTGTACAATAAAGTATATTCTGTCCATGTAACATGTATCAACCATTCCCTTACCTGGTTTCAGCTTGAATTGCCACTGATTGCGCGGGTCTTGAAAGTAGCGGCCCAAGTTCCTCAGGGAGCGATAGTAAGCCCTACATTTTTCACCGTCCTCGAACGCCATTGCCGTTCGGTCGAATACGTTGTATCTGCAAAATATATTTCAGCTTTAGTTTTATAGTCACATTACCCTTAAGATAAGCTCTATTTTATGGAACATGAGATAGAACACACGGAAAAATCATAACGCTTCTTAGAAGTTTGGGTTTTCAGCCCAAAGAAATCAATATGAGCATATTGTTAGATAAAAGTTTGTGGTCATCGGCTATGGTACACATTGATAATAACATAATCATTGAAGCAAATTGTGCAAATTATTTTCTAACATAATCCAATTATGTTAGAAAATAATTTGCAAATACAAATTCCATTTAAAAATACCAGAATTTTGAACAAATATTTAAAAACATATTTTCATATCAATTTTAAAATAATTTAAAAAAATTAATCACTTTGTAAATAATTCAAGGTTTTTCATTTAGGTTTTTGTTGAACTTTACATTGTTCTTACCTAATTTGTACCAGATCCTGAGTATCGGTGTCGATTCTAATAACTGGTGCAGAGTGTCTATAGTTGTGTTCTTTTTCCACAAACTCTCCTTCAACGTTGAATTTAGTTAGGAATTCGAAATCTTCTGGATGGTCTTCTTTCAGACGGGTTGCTCCATAGAATCCATCTGTCAAGATGGTCTCACCACCAATTCCGTCCACGTGTTCGAAACAGTGCAGGATTTGAAGACTGTAAAAAAAAATAACTTCATTAATGTAGAGACACATCATACAATACATTTTTGTGGCCCACATTTATGTGTGTTAGTAATTAACACAACTTATTATATCAAAAGTGCCGTTTAGTATAAAAATATTCTGAGTTAGGGCAATAAGAGATATAAATTCGTATATACTATTACAAAGTCGACAGAACACTTATTTTAGAGCCTCATAAATCCCTAAGGGGCTCGCATCTTTTATTTTATCGCGTCACCTTAGCTGGCATTTACATCAATGCGTACTTTATATTTATATCTCATTACAAGACAAATAAGATTCACCTTTCTGTTTATAATGGGTTCGCAAGTGCCGTGTTCAATTTCGGTATTAGTTTTGAAAATAAAAGGGCTTTTAATAGCTGTAAGCTTGTAGACCAGTTAGTTTGATAAACTCCGCGTCGATAAAACTCATTGTAAACTCGATTAATTTCATCGAAACTCACAATTTACTAAAGTCTGTATGGTTTTCCTCAGTGTAGTAAGAGCTCAATTCAAAGTCAAACTATAAAATTTTAAAACACAAAGAAATAAATTAAAATATTGCGAATTAAGGAAACCGGTAACAGAAAAATAATAGTAACAAACATGTTTTGAGCAAATGGTTATGTTGCTTACAACTGTTAGGCTAGGCTAGGCAATCACAAAATTGTACGTCAAATGTTTAGACCATAATGAAATTTGGACTAAAAATTTTAGGCGTGTCGAAGAGCACCCATTACCTATGTCTTGCCACAGCATTCAACAATTACATAGCTACATAAACCTCAAATAAGGTACTACGTAATTATAATGGTATCTATAGGTATTGATTTATCTAGATGCTCTCATGGTAAAACACCCAACTTTAATATTAAATTCAAATTAACGTCTAGCCGCAACAAAATATAATTTTATAGTGTAAGGCTTCTACAGAAGGCGTTGGCGTGGAAACTAATATGCAAAGCATAGCTTACGGTCGATGTTTGGCAACGAAATTGCACGTGCAATTTTGCAGCTGGGCTTTGCATTTTTTCTTCCACTTGAAAAATTCGAAGTGAGAAAAATTCAGTTTAAAAATAAATTTCCAGCTCCATTTATATTTTGATACTTGAAAGGCGTAACTGCTGAATGAGAAATGAGAAACATTTTCAAGTTGATTGTTAAACAAAATTATTATGTTCACAGGGCTTCACACATGAAGTTAAAGACCGTAGTATCTTATAAAGCACTATAGGGATTCGGCAACAAAAAAATGTCAACAGGCACATAAGCTTAGTTATTTAAAAACTGGGAAAATGTATGACAGTTTGTTAAATAGTTAACTAAGTAGGTAGTATCCGGTAAACTTTGGAGAAGGTGAAGGTTTGTAGGTTGAAAAAGAAAAAAAAATACGATAGAAGCTGCCCTTTCTATAGTATTCTATTAAGTGTCAATATTTTAGGCAAACAAAAACAAACCCATGGTCCTTTTACTGTCCTGAAGCAGTGGTAGGGTTAGTACTGGGACGTGTAAAAGTGTGTTTTAAAAGCCTAAATAAATAAAGTTTTTAGTTTTACTCGTTTTACTCAACCAACTTTGGTGACAAAAATTGCATAAAAAAGTAGGAAATTTTTATGCGTTGCACACTGAACAAAACTTTTTTTATAAGTCTCATTCGCTAAACAGAATCGGGAAGCAACCAACAGTTACAAGCAGAAGCCTTTTCGATTGGCACTGAAATAATAATGACGGGGAGGTTCCACAGAGTAGGTCACAAATAGACCTCTTGAAAAAATAAGTAACCTCATTATCTGGAATATCAAGAAACAGATGATCCTCCATGTGCACGTTTAAAGCGAAAATTCTTGTTTGTGAGAAATATTTTATTTTGGCTACAACCTCCCGACAGTGACATTCATGATAGCTTCCCTTTTTTGTTCCACATTCGCAAATATAAACGTTCCTTTTATGTTAATACAACGACGTGTGGTAAATTTAATGTTAAGTGTACAATTTATTCAAACAAGGCCTAAAGTAATAAAGGTAAAATTATAATTTAAACATTTTTCGGTAACAAAATTTACAATGTTTTTCACATTTTTCACAAAAACTCTAATTAGTCATTATTACAGGTGTGATCCCTAACTTTGCATTCTTATGTGTATCGTACGTACATTGTTTTTGCATTCTTGGCACTCCTTTCCTTTTTCTTTAAGACTTTTTTAAATTGGCGAATAAAAAACGGTGAGAAAAAAGCAGTAATACGAGTATTTTTATTACAAGGACCTAACTTTCGTGTAATATTGTAAAGAAGTAAAACTCCAACAGTTTTCTTGTGAAATGGTAACAAACATCCATTCATCCATCTTTGCAACCTATCATATTCATAATATTCGTTCGTTCGTTCGTTTCAGCCGAAAGACGTCCACTGCAGGACAAAGGCCTCCCCCAAGGATTTCCACAAAGACCGGTCCTGCGCCGCTCGCATCCAGGCACCTCCCGCGACCTTCACCAGATCGTCGGTCCACCTAGTGGGTGGCCTGCCCATGCTACGTCTTCCGGCTCGTGGTCGCCACTCAAGAACTTTCCTGCCCCAGCGGCCATTCATTCATAGTATTATTATAGGATTATAAGTTTTACCCAGTTGACTCAGTAAAGTAGGTGCTGTCATGGTGGAGATCCAAATGCAAGTTAGTGTACGCGGTATCAGCGTGGAATGCTGTCGTGGAGAACTCCCACATGCCCCCAAAAAATGTGTTCTGGATTCCTCCCAAGGCTTTGCATACTGGCTCCGTCCCTTCTAAGGTGGGCTCCGCCTGAAAATTGTTAATGAAATGTTCATAATTATATTCCACACATCGTTTCACACAAATGACGTCCACTGCTGAACAAAGGCCTCCCCCCAAGGATTTTCACACCGACCGGTCCTGTATTATATCCCAATGATGAAACTAAGTACATATTATTAATTAGTGCGACTGATTATAATTTTTACTGAAGAGTAGTAGGCACAATTTTTAAAAAGTAGTTACATTTTTAAATTTGAGCAGTAGGTAACACGATTCCCAAACGTTTAAGCATACTGTTTTGGCTTACCCCTCGTCACTAGATATTAAATTGTTTTCCACATGAAGGAACTATGTGATAAGGTCGCGTGAAATACAAAGTATTTGGAACATTACGAATGGGACATTTAGCCTCCAATCGGGTCTGGACCCTTACCAAAAGTTGGTTTGATTACACCCACCCTGGAATATCGGTACCGATATTAAATTCTTGTTAGGCCAATTTTATATTGGAATCGGAATACCGAGAGTTCAATGTGTGAGGTTTCATTGAAGGAGATGGTATTGTAATTTTCAGTCGACAGCACTTCAAATTAATTTGGCTGTAAAATCGCGTTTATAGCAACTACAATAAAATAGAGAATACAATAATTAAAACTACTCCGAATATGACCGATAGGTAATAAAAATTTAAAGTGGATGCTGATCCAATCATTTCCGCATAAATTACAGTTACTACGAGTATATTTACTTCGCTATCGACCGGACGAAATTGAATTCCAATTATACGAGTATGAATGATAAAACTTTCGGGCATTATTTACACGGAGTAATTGTACGATGTACGAGTAGACTGGACGTCAGGGCCGGATTTCTTTAAAAAAACAATTACGGGGCCCCCAAAACGACTTACCTTTTAAATTAAATTTAATGTAAATTAAATTAAATTAATTATGGCAATGCATAGTGTAATCTTTGCTTAATAAGGGATTTATTTATTTATTGTAAAGTGTTATTTATCTATGTATTTACGAGGTGACACGCCGCACATGCAGCGTTCGTGTTATGAAATCGAGACACATTGTTTCCTCCATAGCTGTATTGTTACCTTCTCTCATTAGCAGCCCTGAAATATAGCTTACACAGCCGAGTGAAACCATACTTAGTATATTATAGGCACCTAGTACCTATCCTTTGTCTAGAATTACTATTCGAAATTGAATAATAAATTGTCTATTACCACCACTAAAGTTATTTAAATAGGTATTATTATTATAGTTAAATGTTATCGAGTGCTCCAAATTAAAAATGCAATTCTCTGCCCTATGTTTCTATTATAGAGAGGTCTATTTTAATATCGCAACAAAAATTAAACTGTCATCATGCCTATGCGCGTAAAATTTGTTGGGTCGTTTATTGCGTATTCATCCTACACTCTGCACTGCTTTCGTGCCTGCGTGCAGAATCGAGTGCTTGGAGCCCCAGGGCCCTAGTACGGCCCTGCCGGTCATTAATCTTCTGACCCTCTGACAAGCTCGTAATAGCGGTTATGTAAATGTGCTTAATACATTTTGTCATATTAAACATTATGACATCATGTCATAACCTTGCGAGCATTTTACAAATTACCTTATTTTTCTGGACATAGAATTCTTTATTGCACACCGCGCAGAATTTACGGTAGCTAGAAATACAACAAGTACCTAATCTAACGGTACGATTCATGCGGTCTTATCGCTAGCAAGCAATCTCAGTCTAAACAGTTTTTTACCAGTAAAATGTTACTCGTAGTAGGTCACGTTAAGAATGTTTTCATATTTATGCACGTCAAGTTTGCCCACGCACCAACGTATCATTTAAATATTATGGTTATGTAAAATCCACGGAAACAAATAAAAAAAATATCATTTTACCTATACGAGTGAATAGGTAGGTAAATGCAACATTTTTCAGTCGGATATCATCGTGCCGTCAAAGAATTTCTAAGAAAAATCCCGAATAACCCGATATCACGAAAACCTGCCTTTATGTTCTAGCTAGATTCTTACCTAGAGAAAAACAAATACTGAGTAGTTGCCATTTTGGTTTATCCGGATCTGATCTATTGCCTCTATTGTCTTATTTATAAGATTTTGGACCAAATAAACTCTTTCTTTCTTTCAAAATTCATAATCTAGCCTCCGATTTCAAATTTTGTTTCTTTCTTTGTATAGTCCACAGCACATCAAACTGAACATTTGTTATGGCACCTAATATAATACTGTCTGTACAATTACTTACACCTGTTATCAAAGCGATCCCATAGTCCAGAAGAGACTGGAACACTTTCTTGGCGCCGCCTTCTGTGTTCAAAAACTCATCCATTGGAACCTCGGCCACCATATCCTTGACAGATTCGCCAGCCCATAGCTTCGGCTTCAATCTACGACTGTTGATCCACCTCGTGTAGTCGAATTGATACAGGAAATCGGGATAATACAACGATTCGTGTTTGTCGTCCCCTTTGACAGAATAATTATTATATTAGTTATGAAGAAACGTTTATTTTATGACAAACAAAACAGATACCTAACTGTTGAATTATTTTAAAGTTATGACAAGTATCTTGTGATTAGCATTAAGCTTAAAATGATCTTGATGGTGCACTCTACTGTACCTGTACTTATACATCTGTAAATGGCGAATTATGGTGTACCTGTCTATACAACTACGTTTATTTTTTGTTGCCATCTATGTGTTTGAGACTAATACTGTAGTATTAATAGTAGGGTATCGCTAGCATATTCTGAAGAATGTGCTAATACCAAGACCATATCCTTACCTTACCTTTCACTATAATTGGTCCACATTCCAAAATTCATCAAAGTTAGTTTATAAATGAAACAAAAGACCAATAGAGGGATGTTTTTCTCATTCATTTACAACACGAATAATTGTCAATGTGTATACTTACAAGTTACACGAAGCTTTGAGTCATCAAGGCAAAAGCTTTCAATATTGGAATCTGGTATATCAACAATGTGTTTCGAACGTTGAAAAGTTTCCGTATTATAGCATTCTCCACATCTGTAAAATAAATGAATGAATTAATTTAGTTTCATTATACTTAGTACTATTAATATGATATTGACATTTTTAATACAGTTTTATGAACTGCCACTTGACTGTAATCATCATCATCTCAGCCATAGGACGTCCACTGCTGAACATAGGCCTCCCCCAATGCTTTCCATGTTGCCCGCTTGGTAGCGGCCTGCTTACTTGACTATAAAGACCACTTGGTACTTGATTGGAAAGGCCTATTTTATATTTTTTTGCTAAAACGAATCAAGTTTAAAAAACCATCTGTATATTTCAAGTTACTGGGAAGAACAGTTGTTTACTGAGAAAGATCGTTCAATTCTTGAAAAAGAAGTGGAATTGGCTTCATTAGACTCCGGCAACTTTGTGTAAAAGTTTATAATAATCAACTGAAACCGGGATTAAACTTGACTTTCACTTGTTGGGTTTTTATTGGCGGCCAAGCTGATCCTGGCTACACAGGAGTTGCAGCGGTGGGAATGAGAGGTGGGAATAATCCCGTAATCAAAGATAATTTTATCGTAATAACTAGAACCTAGAACCTGGCGGGAACGCGCTGTATGCAGGCCGCCACCAACCGGCCATTGTGGAAATCATTGGGGGAGGCCTATGTTCAGCAGTGAACGTCCTATGGCTGAAAATGATGATGAACTAGAACCATATAATATTTTATGTCAAGAGGACTTATGTTTCGCAAAATTGCTAAAGTCTGTTGGCGCGGACCAAAAGTGTCATTAGAAATACATTTGTAAGCGATGCGTGTCTCCTTTCCTATCAAAGACGAAAAAGCCAAAAATATTTTTGTTACATTTAGGTAAGTACTCTCTCGATGTGTTTACCGTTTTGTTTTTAAATAACACTCCAAAAATAAGTATAAAATAAGTAAACCTTTTGAATATTTGATGTTTTTGTTTACACATTTCTAAAGAAGATAAATAATATTTGAGCAATGTTTCATCAATATATTACCTACGGAAAGAGAACGAAATTGTTAAACATCGTTAGTTACGTAGTCTACTCGTATTTAACAAATATTACAGGAGGCCTATATCACGCCTATATTTAAAATAACATAGATTGTGTAGAAAAAAGGTTTCAGTGTGAATAACACGTATTTAATTATTTTCAGTAAGCACCTCGTATGTCTCCTCTTAACTAAATGTTGAAACATTAATTTGTAATCTTAAATATGAGAACAGCGCTTTCTATATATACTAAAAGCATGTTTCAGGTTATTCTTTTAAATAAGTAGTAAGAACAAACCAGACAATTAATAAATGTCCATCGTTATCGCCCTAGATTTAGTTTTTTTTTTTAATTTATTAATTACCTGCAATTGTCCCGTAACCAGCAATCTTCAAACTTTATAATACTGCCATTTCCAAATGTTATTTCTACAGACTTCTCTTTTAAAACAAAGCTCTTGAATTCTGTAAAATGAAATGAGGTGAATATAAATTTTAATAACTATAAATTATATTTTTCACAGATGAGGGTGTTTCCACTTGGTTATTATTTTGTAATTATAATGGTCCTGGGAATCGATAGATATTATCATAATATGCGAATATTTATAAAGATTATTATCGATTCTTAAAAATCATTAATTTTGATTTAGTTGAAATCGAAACCCTTATGGGTTATATTTGAAAAAAAATAACCTACAGACTTACTTTGTATTTGGGTGTGATTATTATTTAAAGATATCTGCCGATTAAAATCTTCACTGGAGGTCATTTTGAATTATCTAATCACTGCACAACGAACTGCACAAATACTTTAGAATTATGTCGCTGATTTAACGACCACCGCTCAGTTATGACTGTTCAATTATGACGGTATACTAGAACAATATCTCTCACATGTAAGTACTAGCTTTCCGCCCGCGGCTTCGCCCGCGTTGAATTTTGTCTGTCACAGAAAAATTTTATCGCGCGCGTCCCTGTTTCAAAAACCGGGATAAAAACTATCCTATGTTCTTTCCCGGGACTCAAACTATCTCTATGCCAAATTTCATCAAAATCGGTTGCGAGGTTTAAGCGGGAAAGCGTAACAGACAGACAGACAGACAGACAGACAGACAGACAGACAGAGTTACTTTCGCATTTATAATATTAGTTGGGATTGTAAATGGAGGTATCAGAAAGAGATCGATGTACAAACAATAGCACATCAATATAAAATTATTGCAAAATGACCCTTAAAACAACTGTATAAAATACCAGTGACTGCCAAAATGATCAGTGATCTGTACAAATCCGGTTCTGTACTATCGCAGTTCGAAGTTGAAGCGGAGACAAAATATTTTGCATACCTAATTATATTATCAAACACTGATAACGTCTAGTTAAGATATTAGGTCAGCTGTGACCTAGCTAGGGTATCACTTGCGTGGAATTATACAGTACCAAAACTCGTTTTAAAAGGTCGTTTTATACACGCCCATAAACTTTATTTTATTACGTGAATTGCAAATTATTTATAACATACAACGAAGATTCATTCAACCAAGTTATCATTCATACTAATCTTAATTATTTCCAAGTGTCAACGACATATTAAACAACCTTCACTATTGATACGTGCGTGCGTACAATGTCCGATTATTTTTTATTGAAAAACAACACTTATCGCAACTACAAAAATCTCACAATGTTTGTATGGTTTAGGTTCCTCACACTGAAACTCAGACACTGGTGGTTTATCTTTCACTAGAAGTGCCTAAAAGTTTCTAGGTTTCTTGAGTTTCTTTCTAATGGGGACCCTGGGAATTTAAGGACCATTTATCTTTACCTCTACAAAAAGAGAAACTGATAAAAAGTTTTCAGCGATTACGTTAAACAAACTGTTAAGTACCTAGTTATTCACGGGCAGTTTTACAACTTAAGAAACGTAACGAGTATTATGTATTATAAAAAAAATACAATTATCAAAATCAACCATGACATAAACAAACTTTATACTTCAGTGAACGCTTCAGATGATGCACAAAAATATTAAGTATTAATATTCGGACCTATTGAAATTTGCATAAAATATCGAATTCATGTCAAGTTTAATCTAGTTCAGACAAAATCAATTAAATCTTCTAGTCTACACCGCACAAATCCGCCCAACGAAAATAAAGTTACACCGCAATAATGTTGTTTGAACGCACCGCAAACAACGTCTCATAATCGGGACCCTTTTATAAAGTACTTAAAGGCTTTGCATTTTATTAACCGATAAAATCTCCATTATTTAAATTCAATTACCTAAATAAATACGAATTAATCCATCGTTTTGCACGGGAGAGTCGAACGCCAGTTTTTTTCCATACAGGCTTTTTTTGCCGGAAAACTTGCTCCTTGTTCGTTAGGACACTCACCACCTGAAAACTTGCTCATTCTTCTACCTAAAATCAAACAGTTCCTTTATGAAAAGTAATAAAACATGTCATAATCAGGTGGATTTTCCCGTGGAAATGCAAAGGAACAAAATATGCAACCACCAAGCCTCCCAAGTGTCCCAACCACAACCCCTCTGGCCTGCATGGAGAGTGAAGACCAAAATTCTCCATTCTTCTCTGGTATTAATGAAGGCATGCTCCTATTTTATTTTTCTTTATTAAGGAAACAAACAGCATGAATTATGAGGATGATGATGATGATAGGTAAGGTAAGGTTATCTTTTTCTATTAGGTACTTTCACCTTTTTTTTCTTCACAAACGTTAGTATGTGGATCCATTATTTTTTAAAACCTCTGTCGGCTTGTTATTAAGTCATTAGTAATTAGATCTAGACAAGTCTTGCACTAGCAGTGCTTATTTTTTATTTATTTATTTTTCTTTATTAAGGAAACAAATAGCATGAATTGTTACATGTGAACTTATAAATAAAAACAGTACAGTAGCCTAAACAGTTTCCACAGATAAACTTTACAAGTTAATCGAAAGTTCAATGCAGCTTTATGTTAAGTTAAAGTTTTAGAGCAAGACTACCTGTTAATAGACTTCCAAAGGCTAATTTATTGAAAGATCAATAACTTTTTAATAAGCACAGTGTATTACTGTGGTATTACCATCGTCCAATTTATCAATAAGAAGTGATTTTAACAAGATCATGTATGTACATGAATTGAGAATCATTCAATCAGAGAAGCGGCGCGGCCTCGGTTGTAATGAAACGGCGACCGCAGCGCCATCTGAATTGTAAATGTTATTATGTCCCGCCACCGACCGGCCGACCAATCGGATTCAGGTGCCTAGTCTGTCTAGGGATGGGGATCGGGGAACCATCGACAGACCAAATAATGCCTTTTTATTTATTTATTATACTTTTTTTTACCAAACCTGTTTTTTGAATTCCATGGAGGCAATTAGTATCTACGAGTAAAAGGTGTTGATAAATAACTCAACCAACCAACCAGACCAGAGTTCAAACTTCAATAAACAATATTAAGTTTTCTTCTTTTTTTTTGTACGATGAAATAATTTAGACATTATTAACAATATCAATAACTTGTCTGATTGTATCATTATGGTTACATTCGCCTGAATTTTAATCGAGGGGTAAATGTGGAAATTGCAATGTTTGCAGCCCTCATGTGGCGCCCCATTAGTGAACAAATGACGTGCAAACAAATGTTTTGCACGCGGGTTACGTTTAAATCTTTAGTTCAGGGTTTTCAAAGAAAACCCAAACGCTTTAGATCTAAAAGAATTAATAAGTATAACACTTCATAATACAATACATAAAATATAAATAAAACTACGAAAGTCATCAATATTATATCAAAAAACTTATTTTAATAAATAAAGAATGATCATTTGGCTAGCACCGACCCCATTCGTTAAAATAATACCTAATTAAATTAATAGAAAAGGTTCAGGATGATTCAAAAATGATACTCCTCAATTAACCGTGTGTACGTTTACTACGTATTTTTAGATGATCTGTTACAATGTATTATCGTGAACTGTTGCAGTAGGTACGAGTGTTCAGTCTTTCACCAAACGTGTGCAATGTTTGCGGCCCGCATGCGGTGCCGTACTAGGGACAAATGATGTACACAACAGTACATCAAACAACACGTTGCAAAATCGACTCTTTCATAACTACATAAAATGCCGCAGTGTTCAGTACGGGGCGTACTGTACCAAAAACAACATTGTATTTTTCGGGCAGTTCTCTACGAACTTACACGAGTGTATAGTTTTTAAAAGGTAGCCTGGCGCTATAATTGACTAGTAAACAAGATACAAATATTTAAATAGGATTGTTTCATTATTTCAAGTGTCAAGCAAATTAACCCAACAACTTTTCATCAAATCTTTGTATCTTCTATCTAAAGAAATATATCCTACTTATAATATTATAAATGCGAATGTTTGGATGTCTGGATGTTTGTTACTCTTTCACGCAAAAACTACTGAACGGATTTTAATGACACTTTACAGTATTATTGTTTATAACCCAGAATAACATATAGGCTATAAATTACAGAAACCTATTTGCAGAAAATAAATGAATGACTTCTCAGCTCCATTGTTAGGTTTATATGAACCATTTTACCTATAATATTTACTTACCTCGACAACGAACGAAATTGATCCATGATATTTTAAAACTCTTTCATTGATCATAATTCCGTTCGATAGAATAGCAAATAAAAACAACCAATAGCAACAACTGCCAAACAGTTTTCGTTTGAGAGCTCTATTCAAATAAGTAAGTCGGTGTTTACACAGCCCGCACGCGGCTCTGGAAATGGACCGACATGCGGCTCCGGTATTTGAGGATATTCAATTCCAGCATCCGTGTATATCGAACTTTATGCAAAAAAAGACAGATAAAAAACATAACCCTCCTGGCGCAGTCGGGTAAAAATAAATTTAGTTTTTTTACCCACTACGAAGATGTTTTTGACCTGTATCTCACTTGATGGAAAAAGTGATGATTAGGCCGAAGATTCATAGAATGCGACCTTCAAGATTCCTCGACCACAGGTTCTCTACAAGGAGACCGAGGTTGTTAAAATCAACAATGGCTTTTTATTTATAATAGGTGCTACTTTGCGACAAAAGTACTGTCAACTGTATTTTATCATATTCTGTATTACCTAACTTTAAAATTATACAACTATAAAAGCATAATTTTAAAAAGCCTAAACTTATTAACACGTAATGTGTTTGTGTTTACAAAAGCTTAATCAATTTACATCGCAGCTGAACCAGATTCATAATTTAATCTAAATTGGAAGATATAGTGTTTGGAATACAGCCAAAGTGCTTTCCAATTAAAACGCGACGGAAAGCCGCCTTCAAAGCCTATCAAATTATTCAGAAAAGATTCTGCCATCGCGACATTGCTTAATTGGAGAAGCCGGTGGAAATAATAAAGATATACTTAGACACCTTAATAAATTATTAATTTAATATTTCCTCTTAGACGGTTGATTAAAACTTCCTTGCTTCGTTCGTTTCAGCCAAATGACGTCCACTGCTGGACAAAGCCTTACCCAAGGATTTCTACAACAGGTCCTGCGTAGACCGCATCTAGGAAATCGGAAATCATTGGGGAAGGCCTATGTTCAGCAGTGGAGGTCCTATCATATAGTTAAAATGATGACGATGATGATGAAACTCAAAAATGAATCGATGGGATAAGTATTTTATTTAAATATGATAAAAACTTGTTCGCGGCATTAATTCAAGCAAATCTGCTAAATGTATGTCTGAGTTTTTGTAGATAGATTATATTCGTGACTTTGCAAAGTAGGTATGTTTGCCGTACAAAAATTCAGTGTGGTGTCGTCTTGTAAACCCTATTGCAAGCAGTTAATTGTGTAAA